TGGGTTCCTACCATTTCCTATAGGTTCCTATAAGCATGCAAGAAAAACCGAACCGTGCCAGACCCGTTGGGCGAACCAGTACGAATTCAGACCGAAGAGATGCGGAGGACGCCGGCCTGGAGGCAGACTTGTTTTTGATGCACTGGGTTTGACAGACTTGACAAACTCGACAGGGCTCCCTGGGCCGGGCAATCTTCGGCGGGTTGGGCCGGCGCCGGCGTCAAAAAATGTGATACTGGTCCGCCCAACCCGCGTTTGATACTGGTCCGCCCAACCCGCGTTTGATACTGGCTCGCCCAACTTTGCCCGTTTTTGCCTGTTTTTGCACGATTTTTGGATTGCACGCTTTTGCACCCTGATTGCACCCTAATTGCACCCTAATTGCACCCTGATTGCACCCTTCCGCTGGTTGGCTTTTTGCTCGTTTTTGACAGTTTTTGCTTGTTTTGGCTTGATTGTTTTTGCACGCTTTTGCTTGTTTTTAGAGTGATTTTGAACGCTTTTGAGGCCTCCGAAGAGGGTACCTGGGGTGGATTTTCTTTTTGCTGTTCCGCCCAACTGGTGTGGGGGGATACTGGTCAGCCCAACCGTTTTGCAGGTAGCATGGATGGCCCCCTGTTTGGAGGCTCGCCGAGGGGGAGTGGTTCGGTACTGGTCTGCCCAACGGGTCTGAGGGGTTTGGTTTAGTACTGGTTTGCCCAACGGGTCTGGGAGCGGTTCGATTTGCTTGCATGCTTGTAGGAACCTTTAGGACCTGGTAGGAATTGGTAGGAACCTTGTAGGAACCTTATGCATTTTCCTACGCATTCCTGTAAGCATGCAAAAAAAACCGAACCGTGCCAGACCCGTTGGGCGAACCAGTGCGAATTCAGACCGAAGAGATGCGGAGGACGCCGGCCTGGAGGCAGACTTTTTTTTTGATGCTGATCCATCCAAATGGGAGGGAGGCTGGTCGGGGGGGGGGGGGGGTCATACTGGTTCGCCCAGGTTTACCGCCAGGGTCAGGGTGTAGCCGTCCACGCTCACTGCGCCCGCGGTGTGCGTGGCAGGATGCTGGGGCGAACCGTCCAGTTTGACAGCAAGACGTCTGTGGGGCCCAGGATCTGCCCTCCTATGGCGGCCACCACCTTGTCGGCCCCTCCGTCGTTGCCGTGTCCTGGTCGGCGGCTGAGCGGTACGCCACCAGCGCCAAGGTGCTTTGGTTGGTTGTAAACACGTCCTGGTCCGGGCCCGTCCGGTAGGCCAGCAGCAGCGCGGCCGAGATGGCGCTGGTCGTCTGCGTGTCCTGCGCCGCTCCTGTTGCGTCCACTTGTAAGGAGGTGTAGTAGGCCAGCAGCGCAGCCGCGAGAGCCGCGTCCGGCGCTGCGATGGAGTAGCAGTCTGCCGTACTAATGCTCAGTGTGTCGTCGCCGTTGGCCAGCGCAGCAGAGAGAGGAGCCTCCAGATGCAGCGAACGACGTTGCTTCCGCGAACGACCAAGTAGTGAAGCCCGCCCGGCCGGCGCGTTAACAACTCCGCCGCTGCCGGAAAGCTGAGCTCCGCGAGGATTGCGTCGAGGGCGCTCTGGAGCGTGGTCTCGCTGGCCGAGGCGGCGTTTGTGGCGTACGAGGCCAGCAGCGTCGCGTCGGCCTTGGCCCCCTGCTTTGGAGCGCTTGCGTCCGCCTTGCCAAGGAGGGCGGCGTCCAGGGCTGCCGTGGTGACTGCGCCCAGGAGGGAGCAGGGCGTAAGCAGTCAGGGCGCTGGCGTCCGCCTTGGAGGCCTGCAGCCCCAAGCAAGCTTGGAGGCCAGCGCTGCGGCGGTGACGGCTCCCAGGAGAGCGTTGGCCACCTTGGTGTCGACCTCCAGCGGCGTGATCCTCGCCGCTATGTCTAGGGAGTGCTGGTCCACCACCGTCTTGAGGCCGTAGTTGGCCGCCGCCGTGGCCAGCGTGGCGTTGTTGGCCGAGGCGATGGAGCCGTTCATGGCCGCCGTAGTTGGACAGCTTCAGGTCCACGTGGCCACCACGCCCTCCAGCACGTCGAAGGCCGACTGGTCTGCCTTGGTCAGCAAGCTCTGCAGCGCGGCAATGCTGCTTCCGTGCGCGGCCACCTGTCCGTCCGTGGTGGCCAGGGCCGCCGCCGTGGCCAGGGGCGCGATTGCCGGCGCCAGCGCGCTGCTGTCCAGCTTTGAGGCCAGCTCGGTGGTGACGTGGTCGTCCAGGGACCGCGTTGTTGCCGGAGGCTGCCGTGTTCACCGCCGGGTCAGTTACTTGGGCGTAGGGCGTCAGAGCGAGGGCCAGCTGCCCTGCGGTGACGTGCGTGCCGTCAGTTACCTCTCCGTTGTCCAGGACCTCCGGGATGTTGCCCGTGACAGGTCCTTCAAACATGTTTTCTTAGGAGCAGTCGTTACGTACTTGTATCGTAGGGGTGTTGTACTTTCGCAACACGCCCTCCCTTGAGTCGCTGTGGGTCATTTGGGGCCTTCGTAGCGCTGGGTGGTACAATTATATATCACCTCGCAACAGCCCTTAGCAGTATGTGAAGTGAGGGAAAGTATCCTTCACTTATGAGACCTCTGATGAAGTGACCGATGGCGTCGGTCAAAACGCTTGGGACACCTTGGCCTCATGACGAATTGACCCGGTGAAGCTATGCATTGTGTGCATAGTTTTATAGGACACTTGTCTCAGTGGTTATGACCTGCGGGGCATTCATAAGCCAACCTTGCCCATGAGCCAACCTTGCCCATTCATGAGTCATTCTCCATTAATGACTCAAACTTGCCAAGAACCAAGTCCTCTCGGTGCTTTTGCGCACTTTTCGGCCCCAAAGAGAGCGGTGACGAACGGTGACAAGCTTGGCGGGCTGGAATTCGCCGGTTTTCCGGGCCGAAAGCGGAATCCTGAGCAAAGTGACCGTCTGGAGCGTGCTTTCGACCGAAAACGAGCGAAACTTGAGGCTCAGGCATCCCAATTGCCGTCCGACACGGAAAAACGAACTCTTCGGAGCTGACCGTTTTGAGCGCTTTTTGCACCAAAAACGGAGCCGGACGGAGCGGTGACATCAGTGGTGACAAGCTCAGCGGGCTGGAATTTGCAGGCTTTTCCAGGCAGAAAACGGAATCGCACGGCGAGCGTCTGGAGCCCGATTTCGACCGAAAACGAGCGAATTTGGTGGCCCAGGCAGCACATTTGACGCCTGACACGAAAAAACGAACTTTTCGGAGTTCGCCGTTTTGAGCGCTTTTTGCACCAAAAACGGAGCGGCGACGAAGCGGTGACATCGCTGGTGACGAGTTCAGCTGGTTGGAAATTTGGCTGTTTTGGCGCGTTTTTTGGCCAAAAAACGCAAATTAAATGGGTGCAATAAGCCCCCTTTCCTTACTACTGCGCGCTGCAGACTGGCTCTCAAGCTCGGTGCGGGCGGCGCCCGGAAATGATCATGTTGTCGATGACGCCTTCTCCGTCCACTCCAGGTCGGTGTTGCTCGCAAAGCGCACTCCGCACCTCCACACCAGCGCGCCCTGATGGGTGAATTTCCCCCCCTTGGCATTGGTCTGAACGTCCAGCCCAAGTGCAAGCTTCATGGTTGCGAAGTTCGGCGTTTTATCCCGCGGAGAAAAAAGTCCGGTCCGATGAACGCGCGAGTTTTCATCGTTGCACTGGCGGTGATCTTGCTCTTTAAAAATGCCGAGACTCCTGGAGCTTTTCTGCGGCACCAAGTCGGTGGGCAGGGCCTGTGAGGCGGCGGGCTGGGAGGTCGTCTTGCTGGACATCGTGTCGAAATTTGAGCCCACAATCCGGAGCTGGGGCTACACGACGTTTCTGTCGGGGCACTTCGACATGGTTTGGGCCAGCCCGGTCTGCACGGAATACAGCCGTGCGCTGACGACGCGCCCACGACGAATTGAGGAGCGACGTGCTGGGCTGCTGAAGACCCGGCCGTTCATGGAGCGCCTGCCCTGGGTGGACGTGACCTGCTGCAAGTACGGAACTCCGTACAGGAAGCAGACGCGGCTGTGGACCAACATGGCCAAGGCGAGGTCTGTGCAGGCCCGGCAGCCGCTACGCGTGGCAGGGCGGCAGGCACCTCCGGGCTGCGCAGCGGGGGCCTCGGCTGATGGAGGGGCAGTACGAGAGGGTCAGCCAGCAGTCACGCGAGCTGCTCTACAGCGTTCCTGCCGCGCTGTGCGACGAGATTGCGCGTGCGGCCGCGGCAGAGCTTGCGGAGCGGCTGAGCATTCCGGATTCGGCCGTTCTGGCTTCCTCTAAACCGAGGAGCCTTGAACAAGTCCATTTTTCCGTGATTTCGCTGTTTTTTTGCGCTGTCACTCAACTTCAAAAACGAAGAAGAACGACAGCGGGCTTTTTTTTTGGTCATTTTTGGGCGCAGTCGTCTCTAGTCAAAAACGGCGGCGAACGACAGCGGGCTTTTTTTGTCATTTTTTGGTCGCTGCCACTTCTAGTCAAAAACGGCGTCAAAAACGACTAAGAAGGGCAGTGGGCCTTTTTTTTTGTCATTTTTTTTAGTCGAGCACCGAGACGCCCGTGCCGGAGAGCGTCACCAGCTGGTAGGCCACCAGGTGGATGAACAGGTCCGTCATCGTGCCGTCCAGGCCCTTGAAGGTGAACCGAGCAAGGTCGCCCGAGCGGGTGCTGACACCACTCAGTGGCATCTTGGGCACGCGCTCTGTTCCCTTACGGATTGAAGCAGTGATCAAGATTCTAACAATCTTGGACTCCTTCCCGCTGTGTCTTTTTTTATGTACAAGGAAAAACAATACGGAGGCTTTTATACGTTGACCTCAGCAATTGTGTCTGGTCCGGTCAATAAACATGTGTTTATGGCATGGCTGGCTCATGTGTTGTGCATGAACAAACGCTTTCCGATGCCAGATCGTTTCGCAGCCTCGTTGGCTCATTACTTTATGTTACGGTTTTTCATTTGAAATTTGCAGATGCATGTTTCATCGGAACATGGCTTGAACTACACACGAAGGACCCGCAACACAACCTTTTACAGGCAAGCGGCGGTCGCCCAAGGCCAACGATCGCTTGGGGCGGATTTGCAGCTCAACGGGCGCGCCCTGCGGCGTGCGCCTTCGTCCGCTTTGCTGCCTTGTGCGGCTGCTCAGCGCCGCAGCTCGGCAGGAAGCTGGACGGAAAATCGACGAGGTTGGCACGTTTATTTGGTTTTCCGGCTAGTTTATTAGTCTCGGCTTGGCGATGGTTTTGAACTCATGGACGTTTCTGTGCAACAATCTAGCTTGATTCACCTACGCACCACTCAACAAAAAGTGTTCTGTACCTTGTTGCAGTCCTAGATTTGCGAATTTGCTGTTACTTGCACGAGGGCTCTTTCTTGTTTCGGCATGGCACAGAAAACAACCCTGGCGCAGAGAACAACCATTGCGATAATTTCCAACGAAGAAAGGAACAAAAAGAACGAGGGAACTCAAAGAGCTTCTGTAACTTGCCAGACTGGTTTGCTTGCATGGAGATGCCCCTATCCACTCAATAGCCCAAAGTTCCGGATTCTCAACATCCCCGGAACGGAGAGCCTTTCCTTTCTCCATCTTGATGGAACTTTTTGCCTAATCCCGTGCGAGCCATGGAAATCTGTTGTCCTAGGCCATGGTGGTGGAAGCCATGGGCGCTTTGGCGGCGGACAGCTTGGCGCACATCGTGGGGGAGGGGCCTTTGATCAACGCGGAGAAGGCGCCGAACGCTCGAAGATGGCGCCCCTGGGAAAGTTTCGGGCGCCAAAGTCCGTCTTCTTGCCAAGCCAATCGCGAGTGAATGATCCCGTCATTGGGCCATGGTTTTCCAGTGATACTGTGGGTGGACGCGAAATCCGTTCGCACCACTTGAAGCCATGGGACGCCATTGTTGGTTGGTATTCACGTTGGGGAGTCGATTCAGAAACCAGTGGTGCAAAATGGATTGCGGCCATCCTGAGGTCTCAGAGTGAACAAACTCCCAAACCCGGAACTCTTTGGGCTCAGGTTTTTCCACAAGGATTTGGGTTTCTTCCCGTAGCAGTTGTACTGGAAGCCCCATGCAAACCGATTCCGGAAGCCATTCATCTAAAATGGGTCTAGCGGAGATCCTTCCGCAGTACGACTCAGCAGTTCGACGCACGTTTGGAGTTTTGACTTGAGCCCAAATACTCGCAAACCATAAGAAATATTTGTGGGGTTCCCTTTACGAGGGGTTTTGCTCATTTCATTTTTTAGGGTTGCCTTGCCCTCGGGCCCATGATTTTGTGACAAGTCAGAAGGGTTGTGACGAGTCAGAAGGGGCTGTTTCTTTGGGCTAATGAAGCAATGTTGAATCAACCAACCAGTTTGTTGGCTGAAATGTGGTTGGAATCAGACCCCCTTCTGGGAGCCAATCAGTTTATTGGATGCTTCTCCCTAAGTGAGATTGGGCGGGCACGGCTCGCCTTTTTTGCGCCGCCCGCGATCGAGCGATCGAGAGGAGTTCGATCGCTTCATGAAGAGCTACGAGTTCGCCATCGAGGCCCAGAAGCTGAAGCGCGGCTTCGCCGGGAAAGCTGTCCAAGCGGGGTCGGGGGGGCGGAAGCCATAGGCACCGGCAACCCCGCTGAGTTGAGCCGCAAGAAGCGTCAAAAACGAGGTGGATCTCTTGAAATATAGGAGGGGCCCGTGGAAGTAGGTGGGGATAGTCTTTTTATTTGAGGAGCAAGAAGTATGTTTCTCCAACTTGTTTCAAATCGGTGAGAAGTGGGTGAACTGCTTCAAATTGGCGACAAGTTGGTTGAGGTTCTCTTGCCCCAGCTTTTGGTTTCTTAAGAACTAGGCATAAAGCCGCTTCCTTGGGTGCTGGGTTTAGCTTGTTGTTTTCATGAACAACCAAGCAAACAAGCGGCACACCTACATGTTGTGCAGCAGGCCCTTGCAGCGGGTTGCCAACACGTTGATGAGTGGTCAGTCACAAACGCAGCTACGTCTCAGGCTGCTTCCTTAGATTTTCTAGCAAGGGCCCTTTCCTCAGTATTCTTCCACGCTGCCATGAACCCAACTCGTCTTCCGGAGGGTATGGCTGGGCGTAAAAACACCGCAGCAAAGATGATTGCCAAGATGGCCACTCCGCTGGATGCAACCTGGAACGGGAAAAGGAGAGAAGTCAATTGAGCCACTTGCCCAAAGTCGATTCCGGTAGATGAAGTAAGGGACAATCCCCTTGCCATAAATGGGTGTCGCCGCATTTTTGATTCTTTGCATGGTTCTAGGTAGACCATTTGATGGGTTTTGATTCTGATTCAATTGCCCGCGACCTCCAAGGCGAGGACATCAAGAGTCTCATGGAGCTGGTTGTGGATCGCATGGACTGCCTGTCCGTAAACGGCCGGTTTGGGCGGTTTGGGCGGTGTGTGTGTGTGTGTGTGTGTGTGTGTGTGTGTGTGTGTGTGTGTGTGTGTGTGTGTGTGTGTGTGTGTGTGTGTGTGTGTGTGTGTGTGTGTGTTTGCCCCATGTTTGCACCCCACCAACCACTGTGAAGTAAGGAATATGCAAACCCTTTTGCGAGTGCTTCTAAAACTGTTGGATTTGTTTTGGATTCAGCAACCCAAAGGAAACCAACTGTTTCAGGGGACCACCATGTTGAGAAACACTTATATTCCGCAGAGTATGCTATATTAACGCTCTTGCGTGCGAGCCCCGGAAGCTTCTCACTTCAAGGTTGGAGGGACAGAACGGATTTGCGGGCTGTCGAATGAGGGAGCCACAAAGCATCGGTTTCCCGTTGGTTTCCCTTCAAACCAGCCCCAAAGGGTGACCCTTAAACAAGTCACACTCATATTAGGCCATTTTCTGGCTCAAGGCGTGTCAACCAATCCTTGCGCCAGGGACCCACTTCAATATCTTCTTCTGGCAGAACGTGGACAGTTGACACTTTGTGCGACGCTCATGAAGCCTCCCCCGGCAACTTTAGGTGACTACAGTTATGGCCTATAAGTGCCATGCTCAAGCTTTTGGGACATACGGGGACCGGAGAGTACCGGTCTTCTCATGAACGCCTCAGGTCAAAACTCCCTTTTGCTTGGGGTAAGAGGTACGATCATCAACCTGTTTTACGGTTTTAGACAAGCATTGCACAGGTTTCTAGTCAGGGCATGACCATGTGAGTGATTATAACTTAACCAAATGGAGGGTTCCCTATATTTCCCGTGTTGGTGATTCTTATACTCAACTTGAACTGAGCTTCCTTTGGTGGCGCGATGTCTAGAGGAGAATTACAGGGACTGACCAACGGAGAGGCGTTTTCCGTGCAGGACATGTATCACCTGATCGGCGCGTTGCTGCTGGAGTTCTGTGTCGGCTTCTACGGCGAGTTTAAGATGTTGGAGGAGGAGCCGGTGCCGCCCAATCTTTTGAGTGCCTGAGGTTGGCCCTTTGCCCGCGGCTACAACTCTTAGGCAAATTGAAGTTATTGACGCTAGTTGGCAACCCGTTCAGCCGAATTCAAAGCGAAATTTCAGATCCTGCGAATGGGCTCTCAGTGGTTCCACTCAGGATGTTCTGCTCACTTTCCAAGTTCCTGCTGGACTTCACATACTTTCTAGCAGGCCATCTTGGCGAACAACAAGTTCGGACTTTTTGCGGCAATCCCCCCAGGAATCGAGCAACAGACGTATTGCAAGCATTGAGCCGTTTCTGTGAAGCTGTGCGGATCTCAGGCCTCTTCAAAGAACCACTGAGGCGCTCGGCCAAGTTGCTTCTTTTTGGGACGGGGCAGGGGTGTGGGTGATCGGCGGCAGGGTTGCTGAAGCACTACTCAAGTGAACGACCCCTGTCAGTATTGGAACAAGGAGCAAGTGGTGACCTCCCTCATTCCAAGGCTTTCTTTTCCTGAGTTCCAAGGCTTGCGTCAGGTGGCTACAAACAGGTCGTGAGGCCGGTGTAAGCGGATTGGACTCAATGATGAGTCTTTTGGGCCTGGTTGAATGTCATCACCCTGCAAAAAGGAGGAATTGCTTTCGATTGGCCAAAGCTACTGAGCTGCAGGACTATGTCAATGAGCCCAAGCTCATCATGGAGATCTTCCTGCTCAGTGCCTTGGCGAATGGGGGAAGGGCAGAGCAAGGGACGTGTGTGTTTATCACCATAGGTGGGTGTTTGATTTTTGGGACCCAACGGATGGATGTGCTCGGCCATCAACCCTCATAGGCTTAGATTGCGGAATCAGATTCCTTCGAGTTTCTGGCTCTAAGTTTGGCTCCTTTGAGACATTCTTTGATTTTCCACAGCACATCAAGGTCCCAGGAACACCACATCAGATGGGCCCAATCCATTCCCTCTTGAATGTCTAAAGACGTACAGGGTTCGGCGCTCAGACGAAGCGTGAGCAAATCAGAGGCATGGATCTCCAATGCAAAGGCCGCCGAAGGCATCGAGATGTTGGATACCTGTCATTCTCACAATCAATGAACAATGCTGGCAGTCAAGGGCTGGTGTTCCTTTCGGAGCTCAGATCCGTTCCTCGAGGACCCAAACAGACAAATTGGTTGGTCTCCCAATTGGGGCAACCCTAGAATTGGTGGTTTCGCTGTCAAACAACGCCAAGATGTACCATCAGAAAAGTCACACGTCAAATCATCCTTATCTCGCCTAAGGCGGATCAACCCAGGGGGTCTGGTGGGGTGTTTGCAGGGTCCCTGAAAGAACCATCCAAAAAGGACAAACCACCTGTTTCCTTTTAGCTTTTCTTGAAACGGACTCGACTAGAAAGGATATCCTCAAAACACAGAGACACCAATCATGTGAAGTGTTCCTACAATGGTCACATCATTCCACCCCCTTCCCCAATCCCCAATTCTCCGGTTTCCTCCATTCATGACCGTGATATATCTACAAGGTCTTACTGGCTGGAAAGGCCAGGAGGTCTTGGAATTCCATTGAAATTGATCAGTCCGGCCATCCCAAACCGTCACCCCCAACCCGTCCCCCCTCACCCCAGGGGTATGGTACGTGGAGACCTACTGAAAGGGGTAGGGTACTTAAGTGAGTAAGCCTAGTTGAAACCCACTCAGACTTGTCATGGCGTTTGCGGGTCATAACCCTGCCCTCCTATACCCGCCCTCACCCAAACCTACCCGCTGGTAACATGGTTGGAGACCGAGGCAACATCGCGGCGGTGGGCTACCTGCTCTTCGCCATTTGGCTGTCTTTGCACGCCTCGGTGGCCGCTCACGCCATCGGCGTAGAGTTCCTCCTGGAGTGCAGGGGTGGGCAGACGCTGGTTTGGGCCTTTTCGGCTAAAACGACCTTCATCTTTGTAGAGTCTGCCATCCACCCATATGAACATTTCCAGGAACAAGCACGGTCCAGTCTCATTTTGGCAGCCGTTTGAGGGTTGTTGACATTTAGACACCCAACTCATTTCCCAATCAGAAAAGTGGTGGGGGGCATCTATTTTCCCCGTGTTTCTCAGTCTACTTGTTTATACTTCCCCTCCCACCATTAGACGTGTTTTCCAAGGCCTGGTTTTCCGAGCCCACCAAACTCGCCAGGCGGTTTTCAGGGAATGCCTTTGCTCTTTCGCTCCCTGGGGTCCGGGTCCGGGTAATACTGTGGATGGACGAAATCCATTTCGGTAGAAATTTGAAACCATGAGACACTTTTGTTCGGTAGAAGAACACTGGAGTCATCATTCCAGTGTGTCTTAGGTGGTGCGGAATGGATTTCGTTCATGCACAGTAAGTCTAGACCTCCACAGTCAAATGAACTTGACCTCCACAGTCTGGACCTCCATTGGGTGGTGATAAGTCTAGACAGTCAGGAAGCGAGTTCCTAGCTCTATCATTGCGAAGGCTATATTTTTTTGGGTCTGAGAGCACTGTGACTGGGAGTCGTTTTTTGCCCTCACGCTCGGATGCCGCCCAGTGGGACAACTTTCTCAGGCCATGCGCCAACTTTTGTGCCGATTTGGCGCTGACAACTTTCATTGGCTCCTTCGGAACGGCCTGATTCGTTTCCAGACCCGATGGTCAGACCCTTTTGGAGGACTGCAACAGACTGACGGTGCCCACGCCCGAGAATTTGCGGGAGATGCGGCAGGCGACCTCCCTCTTCCGGTCCACCTACAGGTGGGATAGGGATTCTTCTGAAAGCGGCCGCTTGAGCGGGCGCTTGAGCGGGTTCTTGCTTTGCTTACAGCAAAGAGATGCATTGTTGAAAGGGCAAGCTTTATTCAAATTTCAGAAAGGGTAGGCCGACTTGCAGCGGAAGGCGTCGTGCCAAAGTCGCGGCAGATTGTTTTGAAGGCGAGCGTGAGTGTCCAGCACAGACACGCACGAGTATTTCCAGGATCAAACATCCTGCTTGGGGTTGAACAGATAAACCTTTACCAGAACTGCGGATCCCTTTTGGGGATGCGGCGGATGCGGTGCAAGGGAATGCAGGGCTCTAAGTCGATTTCTTTCATTCTGATTCTGTGCACAGCATGGTGAGCTGACCGGGACCTAGCACGAGTTTTTCCCGCGAGAAGGGTCCGCCCTACTTGGATATCCTGATTTCAGGTTGCTCAGTTAGGTTCAGCACTTGCCTGTGTGCTTTTTGCTGATGCACGTGCCTTGAATTGCAAGGGACTGCACTGTTTGTGTGAGCCTAAGGCTATTCCTGATGCCCTTTGCGAAGACTCCTTAGTTTACACAGCTGTCAGCTGTCTGGTTCGCTTCTTGATTCGTTCGGCCGCCCCTATCTTCGTTTGCTTGGTATCGAACCGGTTGAATCAGCTCTCGGAGGGGACCTTGTGAGCTCCCTAGCCCTGGCCCAGGCTCTTCAAGACCGTGCAGCGGAGATTTGGCCCAGGCGCGATCGAGTGAGATGGGCAGGGCGAAAACCCTTGTGGCAGGTTTGGTGTGGGGGTTCTGCTACTTTCTTGGCCATATGTTGACGTTTACATCCTGGTGCTACCAGGGGCCACTTCTTTGCTTTCAAAGTCGGCCAGTTCAACAAGTGTCAACCCGCTTTGGCGGGTTCGCTGGAACCAAAAGTTCTTGGGGATTTGAACTTTTGATTTTGGTGAGGCTTTCTGAATTTGGGTCGTTTGTGTGGGGCCGGTTTAACTCCATGTTTTCTTTGGTTCTTTTTGTTATTTAGGCGTTTTTTTTTTTTTTTTAATTGGGGGGGTCCTGTGGGGGCCGGTTTAATACCATGATCCTTTCCAGAGCTCCAAACGGCGAGGTGCTCATGCCCACGCGTGGATGTACCCTCAGGGAGGCGGGAGGCGGCGTGGAGGCTACCAACTCAAGTGTTGCTATTTTGTTTTTCTCGAAAAAGACAGTGGTAAACAAAGCGCAGACTTCGTAGGCATAGCGTTTGTTGGCATTTACAGGGGAATCGAATCCTTTCAACTTTTGTTGGGTGCAGGATGTCGTCCATCCACGGTATTGTGTACCAACAAAAAGCTACGCGAAAAGAGTCGCAGCAACCCATGCGGAGCTCCTGCGACCGGAGCGATCGGAGCGAGCGGCCGAGGCAGTGACGCCGCGAGCTCCTCGGGTCTCGGCGCGTCCGTGGATGGCCAGCCGGAGCCGAAGGAGCTGACGCTGGAGGCGGGGGGGATGGGGGGGGGGTTTGGGGGTTCTTGTTTTTTTTTTTTTTTTGGGAGGGGGCATTTTTTATTCCCCTCGCGCCATGGAAAAAAAAAACAGACCAAGGTCTGCCACAAGTGAATTCCCCAATTTCATTTTTAAGGGGGTAGGAGGGGGGAGGGGGGGAGGGAGGTGCCGAGGCTGCGAAAAACGCCAATGAGGGAGGAGTGCCATGAGGCGATTTTTTGCAGCACCCTGCCAAACAAATACCTAAGGAAGTGTTTTTCTTATTTTGGGGTGCTAGAGGTAGGTGGGCTCGGATTCTGACCCATGATGCCCGCCGGTTTCAACCCTTTGCAGCTGGAACGTTCAGGGATTAAAGCACCTGACAGACAGAGAGTCCCTTGAACAGCAAATTGGTCTTCTTCCAGGTACCCTCCGAGATGCTATCTAGAAATGAACAAGAGACCACAAAGCCACAGCACAACGCAGCCAATGCAGACACAAGCTTGTATTGAGGCAGCCACTCTCTTGCAGCGGAACCTTCTCTTCAATGTTCTAGGGGCCAACCAAAAAACAAGCGTCACCAGCATAACAAGAAACGTTTGAAATGTTTGAAATAAATCATCTAGTCTGGCGACCCGATCCACGGAAATACTTATTCTGCAGTAAAGGGGATGTCGTAGCTCCCTTGTAGCTCCCTTGGCACTTTCTGTTTTTTGCGCGGTTTCCAGACCTCTCACAGTGACAAGGAAATTGTTTATTCGCCAAGTTCCGAACTGCCCTATCACTTTTTGAAAGGGACTTGGGGGGGACACACCTATTTCCTTCCCCCAAGAGCAAGAGGAGCCGTAGCTTCCGCTGAGTTTCGTGGTGATTGTGGTTTGGAGTGTATCCGAGCCTCAGCCTCAGAATGGATATGGGTTGCCCAGGTAAATTGAGTCAAAGACGACACCCTGAGGTTACTTGGTGGTGTCGTTTTTGTAGCCCTACCCAAACCAAAGAGGCCGTTTTTACCCATCATCTGACGGCAAAGCATTCACCGGGCCCCAGCAGGACCCCACCGCCGCAGGCCCTCGCCTCCGGGCAGCCGCTGGCCATGCCGCGGCTGAGGGATGATCTCCAGAAGCTGGCGCCGTGGCTTGTGGTTTTGCGGCTGGCTGTGGGTCAAAAAGCTGTACCAAAATGGCAGCTTGGTGGAATCAAAGACTAAAACCCGCGTAACCCCAGCTGTGTAATTTTGAGCCACACCCAGCTGGGGAATGAGGCACAACACCCGTCCGATGAATCAGCCAACAAGTGCACGGGAATCAGACAAGCACCCGCAAACAAAGCTTCTGGGTGGCTTTGTGTTGCCTTCGGCTAGTGGGAGGGGCGGCGGAACTTGGCGAATAGCCCGTATTTTTTGCGCTTGGCGGCTCAACTTGTAAGTGAGTAGTCATTTTCGGCTGGGAATGAGACACAATACTTGTCGCCGTCGGATGAATCTGCCAGCGAAGTCGGACGAGCCGCAAGAACAAGGCTTTGGGGTCCATGAAATTGACATCATCAAATGATCCGAATGGGTGTGTCTGTTTTTGAGGGTACTCGATTTGTAGTGGTTTTACAGGAAAAGCCAAAAACAGATGCCCAAATGGTGGACTAAAGGGACCTCCCCAAAGCAATTTTTCAGAGCCCCCAACATCCAAACCTCGGTTTGATTTTGACGGCTGTGTCAACAATCAGAAGCAGGAGGCCGCTCTTTTGAATTGCAGAGCAAGCAAACACAAATCAATCTCTGGTAGCCTACTTGCAAATGGGACTAGTTTTCACATCCCCACGTGTTGAAAGGGTCGAATTGTCCAAATGCGAACTGTTTTCTTTCACCATCCACCGAAAGGAGGGTTCCCAGTTCTGACGCGCAGACACGCGCACGCACAAAGCCAGAATCTGCTGTGCTGTTTGGCTACTCCCCTGCAAATCAACAGGGAACGGGAACAACAACTCTCGAGGGATCTGCCTCCGGCGCACCCCCTTTACCGTTTCCATGTTTTGCAGGTCCGACCAACAGGAAGCTCACTTTGAGGTCTTTCCAAAAGGCGACTGGGGACCCAGTGGGTGCTCTTCTCACTGGGTTTGAACATCGCTTGCGCAGGACAATGTACGTAGCATCTGAAGGGAACCCTTTTAGAACACATTCAACGGGCCCAGAAGGAAGCAGGATCCCTAGGATACATTTGGGTCAACAGGATCACGTTTACCAACAAGCTTGCGGGGTTCCCAGCCAGCTTCCTTTCAGGGAATTCCGGTTCACTCCCAACCCGGAAGGTCATTCCCTACCTGGCTTTGTCTTTTTTAGCAAAATCTGGGTGGTTTTCCTTTTGGCGTTCTTCAAAACCCAACCAAGGAGGGGTCCCCTAAAAAAACGACAGACCCAGCGATCTCTGACCAGCAGTCGGTCATTTCCCCCCCAAAAAAAAACAAAAGATATATCCCCCCCTCAAAAAAAACAAAACAAGGTTTTTGTTTGGGCCTTCTGCTGCCATTTTCTCTCGGCGCCTCAGGAGCACCGCGGGAACTTCGCGCAGCACCACCGCGCCTGGCTCCGCTTCGACGCCTACTCGCGGGCGGGATGAACCAGGGACTCCACTCCCCCCCCCTTTCCGGGTTTCGAAGAGGTTTTTTTGCTGGTTTCTTTTTTGGTGTCCTTTTGCGCCTGTAGAGAACTCACTGAGTTTTTGCTTTTTTTTGTTTATTTTTTGGGGCTGTCACGTGAGTGCCTGTTTTTGTGCAGGCTCAGTTCCAAATTCCATGAGGGCTTCCTGTTTTGAGAAGCTCTTTTTTATTGACAGTATGGGGAGGTGCCGGCGACCAACAAAACTTAGATGTCGCAATGTCAAGTTTGACAATTTTGCTTGGAATGCCAGATGCAGAGCTTTTCGACCTCTTGTTGAGCACAGATCAACGTCAATGCGTTGTCTCTGAAGTGTGGTTTCTGCAGAGCATGCTTTCGCAGAACTTGCTTAAAGCTTGGATCCGGATGTCCTTGCAAGTTCCTTGTTTTTGCTTACCGACATCAAGTTCAATTTTCTGAATCTGGAGCGCTTGCCACGCCGGCTTTCATGGTGTGAATGACCTAGGCTGGGGCCTCACGTTGTGCGGGCATTGTGAGCCAATGCTTTCGAGAGCCGCATTGACTACGCGAACCGGCGAGCGAGCGCTCTGCTTTGCTGGGATTGACTTCTTGTTGACCTCCAACCAAATCAATTCAAGCAGAACGAAGGTCCCACCTCCCCTCTTGGATATTTCCAGCTTGGCTTTTGGCCCAATATTGGCTTCTTGCTAACCTCCCAAATCAAGCAGCGGCGCAGGCGCAGGGTGCTCGCGAGTTGCCAGCTTTCTCAACTGATACTGAAAACCGATCGGTACAGTGGTCCATCCCCGGAATGCTGAAGGAACTCAAACGCCGGAATTCTGCACCCGGCAAGGGATTCTCCCTTCACCTTTGGCTCAAAAAAGTGGGGGCCCCATTGTTGGGCCCCTTCGATGGAAACAGAAATAATACCAACACCTGCGGTTTGCGTAACCCCAGCCCGATTATCTTTTTGAGCCACACCCCTTTCTCTACTAATGGGTTTACACCTGCGGTTTGGTAACCTCAGCCGTTCAACAATTTGAGCCACACTCAAAATTCCTCCACTCGAATGGTCTCGTTTGGATTGGCGGCTCGCTCAAGACGGTAGGTCTCCATGGCTTTGGGCATCAACCAGATGCTGCAGTCCATGTCTTATTTCATCGCGGGCCCTGTGCAAAAGCACCGGCCCGGGGGCCAATGGGCTAATGGGACGGGTGGGGGGATGGGGGGATGGGGATGGGGGTGAAAGCCAGGGAGAGGAGGTGAAGCAGATGTTTGGCTGGGCCATCTTCATGTTCTCCTCGGAGATTTTTGGTATTTGTTTCAAGGTGTCCGCCATGTGAGAGGTGTCTTGGAGGCAGCCACCATGGCCGGGTTCAGAGTTTTCGGTGAGGGCGAAGGAAGCGATGGAGGTCTGCCGCCTCACCGAACTTCCGAACTTCCGGCACGCGAGAAGTGCGATTCGTTTTGAGCTCCTTGAAAAGCTGATCCTGTGAGTCCTGGATGCTCAAGCACAACTTGTTCCAGAAGGATCTGATCCCTTTCGAAGACCCGCAGACGAAGAGGAGCCTGGTGCTTCGGTCCGAGGCCCAGCTTCGCGCTGATCACGGTGATCGGGGTCCAGGCGCGAGCGAGTTCCGCGGGCTCCGCGGGATGGGTGGATGGGTGGATGGGTGGAGGTCGGGCTGGCTCCCGCTTCGGTTTCAACCGATGTAGGCCGGCAAGAAACCACTTGCCTTTCAAAAAGAAAAAGGAGAGCGGTTTTCTTTGAGTCACGGCTCGCTGTCTTTTTCACTTGGCCTTTTTTGCGCATGGAACCCTAGCAAAAAGGCGTTGCTTTCGGCGCCAGGCCATTGCCTTCTTCCTGCTGAAGCTGGACTGGAGGTCCATGGACACCGACTCCGACGACGAGGAGGCGATGTTTCGCGCCAGTCGAAACCGATCGAAGGCGTTTCACCGAGGACCAGGGCCCAAAATCATTTTGACAAGGGTTGGGGGGACATGAGTGAGAACAAAAAAATACAATTAGTCTAGGGTTGGGGAGACATTTCACAATTAGTGTAGGGTTGGGGGGACGTTGGAACCAAGATTCGTCAAGAGAATCAGCCTCTTTTATTAGCTTCCGACCAGCATGGCTTGGTGCATAGGCTCCGTTCCAAAAAGGACAGGTTTCCTTTTTCTCAAGTGGTTGGTGACGTTTTGCACCATAAAGGGAAGCCACCAAGTGTTTCGGATGTCTAAGTTGCGCCGCTTTTCAAAAGTCAAAAACCTTGACCGTTTTGAATTGATATATCTCTTGCACACAGACTTTTGCATTCCAATGGATCTTTCCCAGTGCATGCAGTAAGCCAATACTAGCCGTGTTCTTTTTTTGTGGGTATAATTATGAGTCATATGCAACTTGGAACGCCCATGATGATTCAAACTGAACACCAAAAGGAGTCACCTTGAACGGTCCCTGGTTTTCAGCTGGTAGCCGGTTTCAGATGTTTTTATTGGAGTGTTTTGGGTTAGGTAGGGGACGCCTTCTTGGGTGGTCCATAGTTTGATGGGCAAACGCAGGAGACCTGTAAATTGGCTCTAAGAAGCCATAGGTCCACCAAATGTTGCACGACGCTGAACATCAATCGCTAAATTAATCCAGCTGACCAACCCAATAAAGGGCACCAAGCCAACAACTTGCGGGCACCGCCGGCCAACCAGGATAACTCTTACGTTGCCATAGCACCTGACGTTGGGCCCCTTGACGGGGTTTCTCTTCCATTTCCCTTCTTGAAACCTTCAAAAATGGCGATCGTTCAATGGAAACCACCGGTGACATGCAACTTTTGATTTGGGGAGTTCCGGTGGAGCCCTTCAGGAAATCAATTTTTCCAGGTATCCTTCCCTCCAGGTGCCATCTTGAGGTTCAGATAGGAGCCTACCCCCTCCGAAAACAACCCACTTATCGCACCCGAGGAAAAAGCAACAGAAGTGATTCCCTTTCAAAGCCAACAGTGATAGATTGCAGTTTTCAATTTTCAAGACCGTAACAAAAGGTTGATAAGCCGAAAAGTAAAACGCAAAACCACCAACCGGTAGAAACCGAACATAGACCCCCAAAAAAAACCAAAACGCGAAAAGCAAAAAAAAACAAACCCAAAGGGCCAGCAGCGAAAACGAGGTGCGCGCCAGCCCTGTGGGCGCTGCCAGCATGGCCCGCGCCGCCGCCTTCCGGGATGTGAGCAGCGCCTGGAGCGGGTCGACTCCGCTCGAGGGCGGCGTTCGTTGAGGGCACTTAATAAGGCGGGTGTCCCGTTGGATTTGCGTTTTTTCAAATGAGGCCATTTTCATTTGAGGGAACCTGTTTTTTTCTTCTTCCTTTTATTTCTTCTTCTTTTTTCTCTTCTTCTTGGGGGGTTGTCCGTTCGTTTGTCAAACTTAAAGGCGGGTGCCCTGTTGGATGTGTGTTGTGTGGGTTTAAATGGCTGTTTTTGAGAGTACCTGGTGATTGTTGGATGTGTGTTTTGTGGGTTTGAGGCGATTTTCATTTGAGGGTACCCGGGGATTGTGTTTTTTTGGGCTGAAGTTGCGGGTGTCCTCATCAGGGAAACAACTAGCAGGGATACAGGGGCAACCAGGGATACGGGAGGATTCCCTGAAATGCACCTTGACTAAGTTTGAAAAGGGAAATGGCGCGCTCACTCAGTATCCCCGCTTGTTCGTTTGCCCCGTTGAATGTGTGTTTTTGGGTTCAAATGGCTCTTTTCCTTTGAGGGTATGCGGGGCTTGTTTTTTTTTGGCCTCAAGTTGGGGGCGTCCTCAAAGATGGGCGTCGGGGTTGGTTTAAAGACAGACGGACTGTTTGGGGGTTGTTTTAAAGGGAACTCAAGGGAAAACTGTTTCCCCTCCAAGAATGCCCATGGACAAGTTGACAAAGTTCTGTACCAAGGAAACTTCCTAAGTGCAAACGTAGTGGAGGGAACCGCTACTGTACCCACGGGAGGGTGCCCAATATCTTTCTGCTGGAGCTCTGCGTTGCTTGCCAGAGCCACACGCCCCTTTTTGGGAGTGATGGAAGGGTACAACTGGGTTTGGCAAGTTTCCAGGTGCTTTTTTTCCCTCTTTCAGAGCGAAACACAGATCAAAGCAAGTCTTCCCGCCAGCTTCCTGGCTGATTTGTAGGCGAGCTTTCAAACCTCTAGCGTTTCTTTGTCGAAGGGTTTGGGTGCGGTATATGTTGAAGGGTACCCGTGTCAGGTTGGGAAACCAAAGGCTCACCATGTCCAAATTCCTATTTCGACACAACCGTTTAGCTGTTCAGAATTTACTTGCTTGTTTGTTTGAACCCCCACCCAGAAGTGTTCTCAGAACGCTTCCACCACAACCCTTGCCATAATATTTGCTTTACGTGTTGGCTTTTGGCTTCTCCCACTCGTTTCTGTTCTGGCGCAAACAAGCACCCGTGTCTGAAGAAACGGGTTTCATGATGACCTTCAAGGGAGGAGGTTTTTTGTTTCCGGAAATGCAACCACTGTGATGCCAACGGCAGGCTTTTCAAATGACCATTGTCTCAATAGGTCACTGGCATCCAAGCACCGAGAGTTTACGGCCCGAGAAAGGGGGGTGCTTTTGTTGGCCACTGGGCACCCAAAGACAGGGGCGCCTTTTTGGGGCCGTAAACAGGGCCGCCCTTCTTTGGTGGTTCGGGTGACGGAGTCGGGGGCCGGCCTTGTCGGCTTGTCGCCGAGGCCTGCCGTGTGTCGACTTCTTCGCCATCTCGGTGACCAACCTGCGGCTCGGACTCTGATCTGGGGGTCTGAGCGGTGTGCCACAGGCTGCGGCTCGCTTGGCTTTCCGGGTTGTTTTGAAGGGAAGCCAAAGGAATGCCCTCAAGTTGAACTATGTTAACACACCTATATTAACGCATCACCTTTGCTGCAATACAGTAAGCAGTGCCTTTGCAGGATGTCAGGCATCAGCTTCCCTTCGTTTTCCTGCTTTTCTTGGTGGCTTGGGTCACCCTGGGTCATTCAAAAGCCCGCGAGCCACCGGCTGTTAGGAAGCGGATCAACTTGTGGCCAACGTACCAAATATATATATATATATATATATATATATATATATATATGTACACATATTTTTGGGGGCGCTGGTCACATCACAGTCCCCTCCAGCAACAAGGGGTCAACTATAATGTTTTCCAACCCCACAAAAGAGCCGTGAAACAGACGGCTTGTTTTTGGAGGGAAGCTTCGAGAAGCTTTCGCCCGGCCGTCCTGTCCTTCAGGCTGCCGCCTGTGTGGATGGTGCTGATTTTGTGGCTGGCCCACTTCATGGACTCCACCAATAGCGGCAACCTGGACCACCAAGGCGCGTTTTGTCTTTGGGGTGAGGGGGTAAGGGGGTTTGAAGCCACTTGTGGTGTGGTGCCCTAAAAAACAGATATACGAGGGCAATATGCGAGAACGAGTTTGCTAGAACGAATATTCGACCCAAAAGGCATGTTGCTAGAACGAATTTAACGGGTCAAAGGACTATAGTTCGAGCAGCGGCAGATTTCCATTTCGTCGTCTCAGGCCGGCTAACTGCGCGGGTCCTGGCCACGCCCATCTTCTTCCTGCACGCCTGGTGGCGGCTCGGATGCCACAGATTCCACAGGCGCTTAGGAACCATGGTTACATTGGAGTTCCCAAGTGGGGGGGTCTAAGCGGGGGGGGGGTTCCCTAAGGTTTCCTGAGGAACCCTGGAACCCTAAGGAACCCTAGGACTCTCAACTACCTACCCCCCTTGTGCCTTCCAGGGATTCCGGAATAACCTACCACAGCCTTCCGAAGTGGGTTACAGCCAGGCATACTAGTGTCTTCACTTCGGGTTTGGCTTCGGAGTTCCGCTCCTTCCAACTCTCTCACATTGGGAACTTTGCTGAGCAGTGAGCGTTGCCAGGATTATAATCCGCCAAAGCCATCGTTGTAAACCTTCCGTGGGTTGTGGATTTCAGGGGGGTGGACGGATGCGGTTGGATTTCCGGGCGGTGTCCGGAGTCGCCCAGGGTGTGGCGGTTTGCTTGTGAGCTACTAACACACTGCTTTTTGAGCATGGCTTTCTTTTGGTGTTTGAGGTTCGAGGTTCTTTCAGACCAGTTCCGAGATGTCAGAAGTCAACACAGATCAAGGGACGTCAGCTAAAGTTAAGCAGCTTGCAACGGCCACCTCTGCCCGAGGCTGTATTTGGTGCGCACCTACATCGCACCCCATGCCCATGACCTCCTCCCCGTGCGCCTGCGAACTGTCCCGGGCTGAGTTCGGGGAAATGTGGCGCAGATTGGGGAAATAGGTTTCCCTTTTGGGTGGTGTCCTTCTTGCCGGTGCTCAGTAGGGAATGACCCAGGGCGTTGGGAATGAACCCAGCATTCCCCGATAAAAAGAAAAGCCACAAGGGGTGGCTTCTATGGGGTCATTCCCTGATTCCCTGCTGTGCCTTGTGCCATCAATTAAACAGCTGCCACGTGCACTTCGCGCTGACTAAGTGTGGATTGGCACGGCGGAACCTGACGTGGCACAGCCTCCCGTCGCGCGCGCAGCTCTGACGAGCGGAGTGCAAGGAGCAAGGCTAGGGGAGTCCCGGATTGGCTGAGCCTGGATGGACTCTTGCACCCTTCGAGATTTTGCCATTGACAGAATTCAATTCCTGCTCAGTTGAGTCACCATTTTCTCACCCGGGTACGTGAAAGTTCGTGCTGGAGAGTACCCGGGTACGCCTTCGCCGCCTTGGTTCCGTATCATGGTTTCTGGTAGACTATGGTTTTAGTGCCAGGTCTTGATGACTCAGCTCAGGAGGGACCTGGAGTTCCCAAAACCACAAGCTTATGCCGCATGCTTTGGCCGTGGCTCTCGTGAGAGGCACCGCGCAACAGCGTGAGTGACGCTGTTGCATGCTGTCCTGGGCCTTTCCATTCACAGGAAGCGGCGCCAGGGTAGTTTTGAGAGCCAAAGGTCTGGACACATCTTCCAAACCACCCTGCCCACCTCCATGCTTGGAAGGGTAATCATCTCTTTTGGCTCGGTTGCTTGGGTCAAAGGGACCGAGGGACCCAGCGCTGAGGTGGGCTACTTGGAGGTGTTCATGCGCGACGCAAAGCTGGTAGAGCAGATGGAAGAGGAGGAGGCCAGGGCCAACAAGCGAACCGGAAATGAAGGACCGTTTCTTTCCGGACCTTTCTTGCTAGGGGCGACTGCTGGCAACTTTCTCAAACAAGTATGGTGCATCTGATTTGCAGCTTGTTTGAAGCTGGACGATTTGTGGGACGGCAGATGCTCCTCTGGCTCACTTGCTCCGACCCCGCGATGGGTTCTCCTGCAGATTAAACAGGTAAGCCAGCCGCAAGTCACATTCCCCAGTTTGCGGACTTCATACCTTTTTTGGGAGACTGCTTTGGTGGTAAACAAACACAAAGTTCAGACATTTTCACTCAGGAAGTGAGTCAACTGGCTTATGCAAGGACGTCCCTCCCCCCACCAAGAACATCCAGCCACGGCATTCTTCCTCCTTTCATTAAATGTATTTCTCATCCCTATTGGTCAGGATCCAAAAACCGGATATTGTCCCCCCCCATACATGGTTGTCCCCCCCCCCCCCATACATTGTTGTCCCCCCCGCATATATTGTCCCCCCCATATATTGTCACCCCCCCCATTTATTGTCCCCCCGGTTTTTTGCTGATCTCTAGTGCTTAAGCCCAAAACCTTTGCCACAGCCCCCCCCCGTCCCCTTCGGCGCCGTTTTTGGAGGAGCCGCGGGAGCGGCCCCGGCGGCGCCGGGGCGCCAGGACCCCGGGCAGCCGGGTGAAGACCTCCGAGGCGGCGCTGAAAACGGTGCAGCGCCCCCGGCGCCGTTTTTCCTTTTTTTTTTTGCTTCCTTTTTTTTCTTCTTTTCTTCTTTTCTTTCTTCCTTCCTTTTTTTTCCATTTCTCTTCCTATCTCTTCTTTTTTGTTTTTAATATATATATATATATATGTATATGTATTTCCGCTTCGAGGGAATGAGACACGAGAGCCGTTTTTTGTTTTGGCTTCGAGGGAAGGGAAACACGGGAGGAGGCCGCAGTGAATTTTGTTTTTCGGCATTTATTGACTTGGTGTTTGGTTTGGTTGATTCCCTACACCCTTAAGGTGTTTCTCCATTTCCGATGTGGTGTTTTGTTAGGTTCATGATCCCGAGCGAAAATGTCAGCATCCATTTCCGATTTGGTTTCCCAAAACCTGTTCAGTCCCCACACCTGGAGGGGGGTTCGATTGGCAGGGAATGAGTTTGGATCCAATCGATGGGATTGATGGATTGGCTGACGTCTGCACCCGAGGTGCTGTGACTCGGTGGATGACATCATGGCCACTGTAGACTGGGAGGACTCATGTCAAAGGGGGGTCATTTACCAGAAGAAAAACCGTTAATCCTTCACCACACTTCCAGCCTGGGGTTTGGCTTGGCTTATACCCCTGGAACATATTGTTGGTGGCGGAATGGTCATGTTGATGCGAAACGGAAAGACACCGAAGCCCAAATAACGAGGTCTTCACCAACAGGTCTGTGGCTGTTGTCTTCTGACGCCGACAGGAGGAGTACCTGGGGGCGGTCGAGACCTCCAGCCGCCGGCGCCGTGACATGAGCCCCGACATGGAGGCCGCCAAGGCCGCGAGACACCGGCGCTTCGTCTTGTTTGAGGTTTGGGCCCACAGGAAACGAGAGCTGATGGCTTTCCTTTTGGTTTTCCTTTTTGGGTTTCCTTTTTGGGTTTCCTTTTGGTTTGTCTGTTGGATTTCCTTGGAACCACCAAAAATTAAGAAGCCGCAACCCCCCCCCCCCCCTTTACCCCCCCCTGCTTTGGGCCAAATAGGTGGGAAGCCCTTGGGGAAGCTTCCGGAAGCCTTAGGGAAGCTTCGGGAAAAGGGGGGGAGATTGAAACAAGGGTGGTCCCCCCCTCCCCCTCCCTTTTTCCCGAAGCTTCCGGAAGCTTCCCCAAGGCTTCCGGAAGCTTCCGCAAGGCTTCCGGAAGCTTCCACAAGCTTCCGGAAGCCTTGCGGAAGACTTACGGACTTCTGAAGCTTCGGGGGAGCGGACGGGAAGGGCAGGGGACGGGGAAGGAAGGGGTGCGAGGGGGACGAGCATGAGCGTAGTGGTGGGTGTGATTTTCCAAGGCTTGTCGCGCCGCCAGTCAGTGGGGAACCCTTTGGGAGCCAAATACTTTGACAGTGTTATAACACTCCAATAGCAGTGCTATAGCATGTCTCAAGGGGGGGGGGGTTAGGGAGGGGGGGTTTATGCTTTCTTAAAAAAAGGGGGGCTACCCTCAAATAAATGACGCCTGGATGGTCGCGACATCCAGACGTCGCAAGATGAAACCATGGTTGAAACCATTGTTGGTTGGTATTCACGTTGGGGAGCCGATTCAGAAACCGTGGCTTCTGAACGTTGGTGCGAAATGAATGTCGACATTCACAGTATGACATTGCCATGGGTTCAATAATTTGCACGGATTTGGGTGGACCGTGTCAATACCAGCGTTCTGATCTTCACTTTTCACTCTCGCTATGATTCTTTGATGCTTGGACATCCCTCTAGCATGGCTGGCGGACCTAAATGCAACCAGAACGGTGCTGTCCCTTCGCGGCGCTTGGGCGGCGCTGGTTCGAATTTGCGGGGCGCTGGAATCTGCGGCTTGGGCTTCGGACTTCCCTTCACTGAGCTTACCCCTGCCTCTATGACAGGTCGGGGAACGTTCTGGTCATGGCTATTTTTTTGGGTGCCAATGAGCCACGAAAATCAATGGGAAGCTAAGGAGCCGCCGTTTTTTTGGCACAGAGGTCTACACCTTTTAGCGGGGAGTCCCTTTGGTTTTTTCTTCGAATGGTGAAGGTGAATCCCAACCTTTCTGCTCCGTTGAGTCCAGTTTGTTCTGATTCGCTCACGTGCACGTCTGGTCGTCATTACTCAGCTTTTTTTTTGCATGAGCGAACTGAGGACTCGCCCACTTGCGGTCGTAATTTGCTACGGTGTTCATTTCGCACGCTTGCGGCTTGGAGTACCTACCGTGGCAGAGGGTCCTTGCAAGAGCTCAATCTAGGCAGCCTCCTAAAAGATGGCTTTTGCGGGAAAGTCCTCGGCGTTTCTTTTCGCCGCTCAACCTGGGTCCAAGCGACATCCTCATGAATGAGAAGCCCTCGAACTGCTCAGGGCCACTTGAAGGGACCCAGCCAGTGTCTATCTTAGAGGAAATTGGTTCAAACCACTCAGTCAGGTTCCTTGTATAGGATACTCCCTGAAAAGGGTACCTGGAAGATTAGTTCCTCTTGGAGGGGTTCCCTGTCAGGCATGGCAAAGCCATTTTTGGATTTACGCGTCTCTTGACCCACCGCCGTAGCCATGTTGTGCTTTCTCCTTCGGCCCGTTTTCGCAGGGCCACGCCACCGAAGAGAGTACCTTCTTGCGCCTTGGCCGACCGATGGGCCAACTGACGGACACAGAGGATGCGGTATGGCGATATTGTTCGAGAGATATTTTTGACGTTGGGACATCGCATTCATGTGTCCGGTTTGTGAACATCCGGGGGTCAACTGGATCTTTTTTCAGACAGGAAGTCGCCCATGGCCGACCTTGGGGACCCAAGCTTTCTGCAGGCTTTACATGGCCCAAATGAGGGTTGTTCCAGAGGTGGCACCCACAAACCTGGACCCCACCAGAAGGGCCTTTGCAAACAAGGTCAACCCCGGCCGATCCCGCTGATTTGTTTTGGATCTTTCTGGTTTGTGTTTTCCTTTGGTGCTTTTGATATCAGACCGGGGGGTACTGTTCAGATCTTCTTTTCTTTTTTGTGTCAGAATCGGGGTCCCGCAAAAGGAGTAGTTTCCCCCGTGATTTCCCTTTTGGGTGTCCTTCTTTGAGGGTACCCGTTTTTGGTTTCCAAAAAAAGGATGGAAGGGACCCGGAAACAGGAGGGACAGATTGTTTTGTTTTGGGGTCCCCTAAAAGAAGACCACAGCCTGTCGAGGGTACCAAGCCAAAAAGTGTTTGGGCGACGCTTCGGAGGCCCAAGCCGAAGCAGAAGATCCGGGGTCACGACCACGTGGCCTGGCTGGTGGTGGGCCGCTTCACCACCACCATGATTTGGCTCTGGATCGCTGGCGGCACCTCGACTTTGTTGCATTTTGCTGGGGGGGGGGGGGGTACCCATGGGCTCATTTCGGGTACTGACCGCTCTTTTGAAGAGGTGCATTTTCCAAGGGATGTTAGGATTTTATCTTTTTGCCAACTAAGAGGGGTTTTCCGACTTAAACCACGAAAAGCTAGTCACTTTTAGCAGGGGAGCAGAAAGCAACCGAGTTGAGGAATATCGGATCCGCTCTCGGCCCGGAAGGCTCATGTTCAGGTCCGGGGCTTCATGCAAGTGGTTGCGGGAACGATCCCTTCCAGCGATTTTCCAAAGGTCTGCGGAAGTGTTGGACGGACTCACTCTCCACTCTCCCGGAGACCAAGCCCGCATATGTCGCCGAACATGTCATCGAATAAAGTAGTTTGTTTGGGTGTTGTGAAGGGTCAATACTGAAGGAATGATTTGTCATGTGGTGTTGACATTCTTTGCCCAACGTCGGATGTACGCCTCTCCCCCCAAAAGATAAAGGCGTCCGAGCCCTGGACCGACCGCCCCAGGCATCCAGTGTTCTGGTTTGGATTGGTGCATTCAACGGGGGTGGTTCTTCATTCTCCAAGAACCAAACCTCACCCCGTCATGTTTGTTTGGTGGAATGAATGGATTGAACACTTGCATAGAGGCTTGTGGTTGGAAAATAGAAATTCACAGATTAAGAACATGCTGGGCCCAAGCTGCTTGCCCGCCAAATGCGCCTCGTGTTTTGCGGAGTGCACTCGAGGACTTTTGGAGTAAACCAGCTGCGAGGGGTGCATTTGGAATCATTTTCTCAGTGGCTTCCTTCTTGCTAGTTATAGCTATTCTGGTTTAACCGTCCATGAGCCAGCGTAAATACCAGCAAACGTTATGGTTTCATCCCCATGGTTTCACTTCGTGGTGCGATTTCAGCGAATGATTCGAGTGACCTTCCACAGGTTAAAGGCCTGGTGCTTGGCCTCTTGGAAGCCGAGGCTTTGTCCACATCTCCAACTGTCTGCTGGATTTGGGCGGCCAGAAGAAGGACCTGAATGGCAACATCCACAAGGCGAGCATTTTTTTAAAATATATATATATATATATGTATAACATGGACGTCTCAAAAAGCAGGGCCTCGCGAGCAGTCTGAGTGTCCCTTTACCGGTTTCCCTTTGCAACGCCAAGAAAGATCCCTCTCTTGAAGCCGCGGTGCCGTGCTGCAGAAAAGGAGTCCCCTTCTTGGGACTCAAAGTCCTCGCGGAAAAGAAGCCCCCGCGCTTGAGGCTGAAGGCATCCTTGTGCCCTTTCCAATCTTTGCTCCCATGGCCAAAATCAGCTTGAGCGGCAGATTACGGGGAAGCCAGCCCAGTCCCTCTGTCTTTTCAGGACCCCCCATATTTGGGGTTCAAGGGAAACCAACAAACCGGAACACCCCGAAATCCCATTTTGGGAGGTCCAAATATCATCCCATTTGAAGACCCACCGCCCGCGTCATGGAGCCTCTCAGTCCCTGGTGCTGCGGAAGCTGTCGGCGAGCTGGCCTGAGCCGGCCAACTTCTTTGAGGTGCCTGGGTGACGTCCTCTTTTTGGACCGTGCCACGAGAAAGGAAGAAATACGACACGAATACTTCCATTTTCTTATTTTTTCCCCTGTTGGTTTTAAAGTGAATCTATCACTACTGGAAACCTCAGGGGTCTAAACATCGCTTCCCATAATTTTCTAGCGATGTAAAAAATCAATACCCGCCAAAAGATATATTCTAAACATCACGAATTTTGCTGAATATTCACATACAAATTCATTCATAAAATAATATCATATAATATTCCCGATAGTACATAATACTCTTTTTAATATTCACACCGTTTCACAACCCTCGCAAAACCTCGTAGATCCCTCGTAAAACCCTAGTAAACCTCTCTCGTAAAACCTTACCTCAAGGCCGCCCCGAACCCTCAACCAAATGCAAGAATACAATATACTGTAAATGGACAGAATCCACTTGGCACCACGAAATGAAACCATGGTTGAAACCACTTTGCTTGTTGGTATTAGGGGAATCAGCATTCCAGGGTTTCGTAGGCGGTGCAGTACGTGGAACTGAGCCTTCTCAGAAATCGCCCTCTTTTCGAATACGTAGGTTGAATGTGGAAGCCGCGTCAAATAAATGAGACCGTTTGTTGGGGACCCTGAGAGGCAGCTTTTTCACAGGTTGACCCGAGGGAAGCGGCGCCTCTGTGAGATGGGTCTTTGCCAATATAGGGGGGCCAACAAACCTGGAAATGGTACCCCCCGAAAAACATATGCACAGGTCACCAACCTCCACTGCAACAGCTCCGGTGTGGTCATCGGCTCGCCCTTCGCGGTGCGCCACGGCTGATTTGAAATCCGCGTGCCAAAGTGAGGTCTGTGGTTCGGTGAAAAAAGACGCAGGTTCATTTGGGAGGAACGGGAAGGGGGAACTCACAGGGAAATCAACAGGAAACTAAGCAGTTTCGGGGTCCCCTAAAAAGCACCACACACACACAACTTTCTCACCAATTGCAGGGAACACAAAGTTTCCCATGTCCTGTTGGGGAAACCTGGGTATTCTTTTTGCCGTGGCTGGGGGGGGGGGGCGGGGTTGGCTGTTTTCTCGGCCGCGTGACAATGATCTGCACGAAGCTGGGTGAAGCATACATGTACAGCTACCCCTGGGGCATTCCTAAGCCACGCGCAACCCAAGAAGTCATCAAAGGGGCAAACGCCAAGATGGTCGTTCTTCTCTTGGTGGCTCTTCCTCTTCAGGGTACATTTTGTTTGGGTTGCTTTAAACCCAGAGGGTCCAAGTACCTCAGCTTGGTACCTCCTTAGGTACCAAGGGACCCTCTGGGAAAGTGAAGGGAACGTTCACCCTCGAGGTTTGCTTATCCCATCCAACAGACCCCTGACCCCAGGCACGCCGCTCGCCGCCTTGAGAGCCTTGAGAGCCTTGAGACGGAGACGCTGGGCCGCTGCGCTGAAGTGGGGAAGCACCGGAGTCAGGGTTCCACTTTTTGACTACCTGCAATTGGGTCATGTACCCCAAAAAGGGAACCGGGTTTATGTCTATTTGCAGGTAGTCAAAAAGTTGAGCCCTGACCGGAGTTGTTCTCTCCAAGCGTTGCTAAGCAATCCTGCTGCAGAGGGCCAACACTGCTCGGGGCAAAATGTACGAAGCTTTGACTTGAAATCATTTCATTCATATTTTGGTTCCCTTACCTCTGGCAGTCCATCTCTTTCTCAACTTTTTCGCCCCCTTGCCGCAGCTCATGGATCTACAAGGTGGAGTTGGAGGTGAAGCACAAGGACCCGCTCTTTATCTCTTTTTCTCTGAACCGCGACCCGACTCACGCAATGAAACGAAAGGAGCGGAAAGGACTGGGCGAAAGTGATTTCTGCCTCAGCTGGGAAGAACTCTCTCGCCATCTTTCTCCCCTCTGGTTGTCGGAGATGGGTGAATGAAGCTCCATCAGCACTTTCTTTGTGGGACGATTCCTCTGGATGTAAATCAGAGATGAGGGGAGGTGAGAGATGTCCGAGTCCCTTCTCTCACCGCATGTCATCACACCGCTGCGGAGCAAGGCCCGGCAAAGTCACACGCGGCCAGGCCACGCGTGTCCGGCCAGCCCCGTCGTCCGTTAAGGCCAGGCCTGTCAACATTTCGATTTTTGAGTTTTCAATCATTTTTATTCATCTCACCCTGGGCGCTCAGCGCTAAAACGGCCCTCTTGAGACAGACGAAGTCGGCGGGCTCTTCACAACTATGCGAAGCATCCTGCTAGCGTCGCAATCCGGACCGTCGGTCTTGTATGCGCAGCAGCAGTAAAGCAAATGGACGCATGCCCAATGGGCCCTTTTCGGGACGCCACTTGGAGACTTGGAAGAAAGCTGGCTTGGACTTGGGCACTAGTTGGGCGAATGAACTTCGCGCACCCCGCTTGGGTTCCACACCCGAATTTGCTGCAAGTTCATGGAGGCTCACCGACTTGTAAGCCTTTAGCTATCAAAATCAAAGAACATTTGGTAAAATTCTACGGCCACCAAAATCAACCAACCTCAAATCCAAGTGTGGATGCGTCACCTTTTAGCGGACACCCCCAACTTCGATTTTGGTTGTACTTCTGTCTTCCCAGACAAAACAAACAACACACAAAAACACACACACAGGCAAATGAAATAAGGCACATCATGAAAGCTCCCAAAATCCACCCACATCTCAAATGAGATCCGTCTCTGACAAAATCCACCCACATCTCAAATAAGATCCGTCTCTGACTAGACCCAACCCACTCCAAAAACGGGCCCACCAACCCCAAAGCAAACACGTCCCACTGACCGGCGGTGCGGGCCGCGTGCGTTGCGCAAAGATCGAGGCCCTCTGGCGAAGATCGGGGACTTCGAGGCGAAGGCCGCCTGGTGCGGAGGCCGCGGGACGGGGCTTGGACGGGGCTGACGGGGGATTGGGGGTGGGGGGTGGGACGGGGGGTTGGACGGGGGAGGGAAGACGTGGTTGTGCTTCTTTTTTGAGGGTATCCTTTTGTCTTTGTTTAAGGGAACCCACTTTAAAAGGAACACCAAAGCCATTTTGCGGGGTCCAATCTACAACAGACACATCCATATTTGGATTTGAGATTGGTTGATTTTGGCAGCCGCAGAGATTGTTTAGATCTTATTTGAGACTGATCCTGACAACTAAAGCAGACACTTCCAGGAGCTCATGGTTGCGGGCTTGGAGCATTTTACTCCCGCTCGGTGTTGATTATGACTCAACTGGTTTAAGATTGGTTTGAGCCATGTACCAGGGAAATCCATCCATTTGTCATCCTATGTGAGATCTGCTTTGGTGTTTGGTCCTATTGCATATCATCCACCATTTGCAAAAGGGGAATTTCCGTGTATCCCAAAATTGAAAGGATGGAGTCTGGAAGAAGGAAGCACCGACGGAGTCTCCATGACCCTTTGAGAATGGGTCTCATGACCCCACGATCTTGGGTCATGACGCCCATTTTTTGAGGGGCCAGAAGGAGACTCCACCAAGCCGCAATCTGGGAAGCGCGAGGATTGAAGACACACGCCAAATGGGTTTTGTTCATGCTTTTCCGGGCTTGGAGCATTTTACATTTGCTGGGTTTTGATTATGACTCAACTGGTTCAAGATTGGTTTGAGCCATTTACCAGGGAAGCCTCATCTCTTCAATTTCCGTTGAATTCAGTACCTCATTTTTGGACACCCATTCATTTTAGTACCTCCCACCACTCGATTCGCCGCCCGCGTTTTTAGGCGGCGGCTGCCGCGCCCTCGCAGCGGGGCCGGAGGGCCGTTGGCAGCTGAGGTCCTTGGAGGCGGGTGAAGGGCGAAAAGTGGCGGGTTCCTTTGGGGTTTTCAGTGGTCTTTTAGTGGTTTTTAGTGGTTTGTAGTTGGTTCAGTTTTTTTTGAGTGGTTTTTAGTGGTTTGTAGTTGGTTCAGTTTTTTTTTGTTGAGTGGGTTTTTAGTGGTTCTAGTTTTTTTTTTGTTTTTGAGTGGTTTTTAGTGGTTTGTAGTTGGTTCATTTTTTTTGAGTGGTTTTTAGTGGTTTGTAGTTGGTTCAGTTTTTTGTCGTTGTTTTGAGTGGTTTTTAGTGGTTGTAGTTTTTTTTTTTTGAGTGTTTGTTAGTGGTTTGTAGTTGGTTCAGTTTGTTTGAGTGGTTTTTAGTGGTTTGTAGTTGGTTCAGTGTGTTTTTTAGTGGTTTGTAGTTGATTCAGTTTTTTTTTGAGTGGTTTTTAGTGGTTGTAGTTGGTTCAATTTTTTTTGATTTTTTTTTTTTTTTTTTTTTTTTAATAGTTAGTTTAGTGGTTTTCTTTCCATCCGTCCCCTTAGGTTCTTAGTTGTTTTGAGTGGGTTTAGTGGGTTTTAGCAACCAACCATCCAGCCCAGAGGTTCAATACTTTTAGCGGGGGATCAGTTTGGACTGCGGCGCTTTGTGGAGTATTGAAATGTCTTGAAATTTCTCAAAATTAGGGACCCCTTGGGGTGGTTGCTTTCCTTTTGGTTTCCCCTTCAAAACCATCCCTTTTTCAAGCAACACCCAAATGGAATCAGCAAACCCAAAAGAGGGGCCCTAGCGGTTGCATTTTTTGGTTCTCGTTTGATTCCTTTCTGGAGAACCCCTTCAAACTGGGGAACATTTGAGTCAACTAAACTGGGGAACATTTGAGTCAACTTTCATGGACCTAAACTAGAACACAAATGGGTACTGCAAAAGAAGACTTTGAAGGGTCCGAACCAGTTGAGTATGGTTCTTGGAATTGTGGCTACCTCATGGCGAATTTCGGCTGGGGTCATTCCAGTTGACCGCCTGCCAGCTCCCCCCTTCCTGACAGTAGGGCAAGGCATGGCCTTCCCGGGGCTGGTTTTCTTGTTTTCTAGGGTGCCTCTTTGTTTTGTCCTCGGTGCCCGTGCAGCCGGTCTTTTGAGCCCACTTTGGTTGGCTTCTCCGTGAAAATGAATGGTCGGCAGGGCACTTTTCGTTGGGGCTTGGGTTGCTTTTGGGACTACCTGCGCATTGGAGAACCAGCAGGCTGAGTTCTCCTGAGTTTTTGCAGCTCCGTTTGTGAAGGTCAACTTGCAAAGGCGTGACAGGACACAGTGGAAGACATGACACGGCAGAAAAGGCTACGGCGCAATATTAACATATTGCAAGCTGACGTGGCGCTTCCATTTTATGACACTGCGCGAGACTCGTCGCAGACGTGTTGATGGTTGATTTGGAATGCTGCTTGATGTGCAGTTGTCAGCGTCCAATGCAAGTTTATGTCCTGCAAGCATTGCATTGAACAGACTACGAATCGTGTTGACAGGGTTTCCCCTCCACTCGCGTACCAGGGACACAAGTTTCTGTATAATCCTTTGTGTACGCGAGCGATAATCACACCTAGCTTCAGTTCAAGGAACCGTCCCAAACAGAAATGGTACCGCCGCGAAGACCTCTTCTAGATTCGTACCTAATGGGTATGGATCAACATAAACCCACCAGGGGACCGCAGGTTTTAGGTTTTGGCACCATTTGTCAGGGTTCCATTTTGTGGTCACCGCATTTTTCACCCACAGCCATTTGAGTCGACTGCTTCACAGGGTCTTTGTTCGGTGGGTTGTGGCCTGCGCCAATCGCCCCAGGCAGCTGGCAGCGCCGAGGACGCGGCCCGGCTGGGTGCTGGCGAGAGAGCCTGGGGACCTTTTGACCCCGTGGACGGCATCTCTCTACTCACTTCCCTGAGTTCCGTTTCGGGCTTTTGTCACGTTTTGGGGTTGGACCATGTTATTGGTAGCAACAGCAGGGCCACTCTTTCCTTCTTTCTGACTGACTAACTGTCTTTCTTTCTTTCTTTCTTTCTTTCTTTCTTTCTTTCTTTCTTTCTTTCTTTCTTTCTTTCTTTCTTTCTTTCTTCTTTTCTCTCTCTTTCTTTTTTCTTTCTTTCTTTCTTTCTTCCTTCCTTCCTTTCTTTCTTTCTTTCTTTCTTTCTTTCTTTCTTTCTTTCTTTCTTTCTTTCTTTCTTTCTTTCTTTCTTTCTTTCTCTCTCTCTCTCTCTCTTTCTCTCTTTCTCTCTTTCTCTCTCTTTCTCTCTCCCTTTCTCTCTGTCTCTCTCTTTCTCTCCCGCTCTTTGTCATGTCTCCGACCGTTGGTGTTTCACGTTTCGTTTTTTTGAGGAGTCATGACCCCAAGGGGACCGACCCGTGATTTTCAGCTCTTTCGGGTATTTTAGAATTGCGCGATGTGGGAGTATCCCCAGAATTGGCGCACGGGCTTCTTCAGCCATCATTTCTCAAGTCAGGGCTTGGACAAGAGCTGACTGCGACCAGGCATCCGACTTGGGGGGGCCAGTTAGTCAACAACATGGGCTCCCGAGTTTACCTGGCTGGGTTTGAGGGACGAGCAAGAGAGCACATGACCATTTTCCCCACTTCAGGATCACGACGGGGCAACATGGAGGTTTTCCATCGCCACCCAGTTACTCTTTTACCAACAAGGGGGGGGAACATGAACCACAACTTCCAATTGCTTCAGAATATTTTATATCTCCCCCTCTTGGTTTTGAAGGGACTCTATCACTACTGGACACATTTTCTCATTTTTTTTCCAGAGGTCGGGAAGAACCTGAAGGAACCCTGGGAATTTATCACTACTGGACATATTTTCTCATTTTTTCCAGGGGTCGAAAAAAGTCTACCTCTTTAAAGCCATTGAATCTCACATTCTACCTATCTATTTGTCTACGCATCTATCCTATCGAGGCTCTTTTCTGTCTGTTGCTCTGTCTGTTTCGGTTCGGTTTTCCGGTTCCTCACATTGGCACCGAGGTGCCGCTCCCGGCCTCTTGGCGCCTCGTCGCCGGGGCGCCGGCGCAGGCGGGCGAGCTGCTGGCGGCCTGGGACGGCGAGCGCGGCTCGGAGGCGTCTCAGGTCGCGTGTGGCTCCAAATGAGTTGGAACGGTCCAAAGGACCGGTGGGGACCCCTATTTTCATCGATTTGCTTAAGAATATTCTATATTTTCCCTTGTTGGTTTTGAAAGGAGTTTATCACTACTGGAAATATTTGTTTTTGTTCCAGGGGTCCGAACCAAATGGAAGATTTTACCCATGTCCTGAAGCTGACAAGGCTGTGGCTCAAAATTCAACAGGGGTTACGCAGGTTTTTAGTCCTTGGTTCCATTTACCAAGGTGCCATTTTGGTACATTTTCATGGTTGTTGTTGGGAAACATTTTGCATTTTTTGCTTATCGTGGTTTAGTGGTGGAAATCCAACCACTGAACTGCTACAATTTGAATTTTTGCTCCCCTTCCAACGTCAAGCAAGTTTTGGCAGAAGCCTCTCGTGGACTTTTGTTTCAGTGTGCCGGTGACCCACTTTGCGACCGGAAGAAAGCCCGCGGGTTGAAACAGCTCCTAAACATAGGCCTAAGGGGGCGTTTGTTGTTGTCCAGGCGCTTGTTTTCAACTTGCGCTACTTAAGAAAAGACTGTTTTGAGACTGCCGGCAGGTCTTGATCGCTGTTGACCACCCTTTTCCAACCACGGGAGTGGACTCCAAAACCCATAAACAATTATGCGGGCATGTCTTCTTCTGAGGATACCCTGAATTTAATCTGGGTTTAAAGGGGGGCAAAGGGACAACGACAAAGTTTTACCCCTTTGTGTGGTTTCAAAGGGGAACCAAAAGGACTACAACCAAGTTTTGGCTTTCCCCCCCCCCCCCTCCGCCCCTTTCTTTGAGCCACCGCCATGCAAAGAGAACCGAGTGCCCTCCGTTGAGGCGTGGTCATCTCCAGCCTTTCGCCTGCGGGCGTCCTGGCGCAGCGCTTCGCCGTGCACCCCTCCTGCGAGGCGCCGATTTTTGAAGCCGCGTGGTGTGCCGAAATTTGGACCGCGCGAGCTGCGAGTTAGTAGCATGGCGGGAAGCGAGGAGGTCCATTGCTCCATGTAAGCCGCAGGTCAATCATATATTGTCTGAAGATCAAGCAGATGTTGTCTGAAGAGAAATAATCGTCTCGTGAAGGCAGCGTGACCATATTCACGGTCATCGTTTCATACAACAAACTCATCAGAGACCGAGTACTTGACGAGCAGGGTCTACAGGCAATTGCTCTTGTCACTGCAGGTGGGGCGATCTGGAGTGAAGCAGTCACGGGGATGGGAACCCCACTTTGGTATCACTAGTGGGTGATTTTCCATGTGAAGGCGCTTGCTCAAGTCTGACTGCCCAGGACGATGAAGAAGAAGAAACTTCACGAAAGCCAGGCGGGACAAGCAAAGCCTGGACCCCACTCAAGGAGCAAATGGAGGCTTCCAATTTCCGGCCAGGCAAGTAGTGGGAGAGTCCTAGCCATGCATTGCTGCGGGGAAGAGCCCTTTGCATTCTTGACATGACTCTGGGCAGATGCCTTCAATTTGAGGACATGGATGAATGGTTACGCATGAACATCCCCCAGTCTTTGCAGACAGAATTCGGGCACTAAGGTTGCTCCCAACTTGAGTGGGCCAGAAGAGGCCCCAGTATTTTTGTATTCTCCCACGAACCAGCAAGAAGCCAAACTTCTCGGGACCTTGAGAAATGTATCCTCCCAACAAGCAAGACATGAATCGACACATCACTCCAGTTTCTTTGCTTTTCAACGGCATGTCACCCTCGCGGCTTTTGCGTGCGTGTCAGTTGGACGCAGGCTTGAATCATTGAAGAGCAACTCCGGAAGTTCTAAAAGGGGGCAGACGGCATGCGTGAATCTGGGGAACGCTGTTAGGGGGGGAGACACAAGAAAACCAAGAAAACCAAGACGAAAGCACCTTTCCACACGTTTCACAAAAGGCAGAGGATTCTGAATCACTTGTTCGTCTTCTAATTATATTTCGCATCTACCTAAGTGAGGGTTCCCCGAAATTGGAACATGTCTGCAAGGCAGTGTTTGGGGCCTGCCTTCAAATTCGCAGACCCTGTCCAACCGCAGTTTCCTGTACCTGATGTTGAAAGTCCATCATCCACAAATTCTAGTTTAGATACAGGGGATACCCTTCTTGCAACCTCTGGGTAAGGCATGTGTCGAACCGGGACTGTTGAAATGGCTCGAAAACATACAAGGGTCGCGTTCTTTGTGACGCATCTGCCCAAAAAAGGGTTTGTCTTTAAATGCGGGAATCCCCCCCGCACCAAAAAATGATGGGTTTCCTTTGGTTTCTTGGAGAGAAGCCCAACAAGGCTACACTAGGCCAAGTGAAAGTGATGCCACGATTCCAGCTTCATTTGGGTGAGTAATCCCCTTTGCTTTGTCACAAAGGGACTTGTGCCATCTACCCAAGGCCCTCAACGACACTCACCATCTCCCATGCTTTCAAAGGCCTTCCTTTTTGATGGCGACCCAAAACCGCGCCGGCCGACCCAAAACCGCGCCTCCCGTCAGGGCCGGGGGAGGTTCGGGGCCTCTACGTGGACACGTCTTCCGGCTCGGTCCTCAAAGAGTTGGAGCTGTGACATCTCAGCGTCCCCAGTGGAAATCGGAGTCTTGGAACTCCTGAGTCGCGCATTTCTAAGTTTATCACTCGCCGAATGTGATGTTCCTTTCCTTGGCGAGTCTTGTCTTTTATTGACGTAAGGAAAACATCGGCTGAACAAAAAAATGTGACCAAGTTCCTGGAATGTGGCAGCATTGGTCCCCCTGGCATGCTTTGCCTCTCTGGTTGTTCAATTTGTTTGTGTGGCCGCGTTTGCTGGAGGCGTGCTGTTTTTGCTGTTGTTTGTTGTGGCCTCGGGTTCGTTGGGTTTTTTGCCACGTGCCCGAGCCAAAAAGGACCCTCTTTGTAACCCTTCCAATGCAAATCGCTTTCCCGCGCCTGGAGGGTCGATTTCTGCTTCAGGCATACAGATGCCCAAAATTTTGGTCCATTCCGGGAAAGAAAACAACACGGTGCAGGATTTGCGGCCTGAATGGGTATGTCTTTTGTTAGACCCCCCCAAAAAATGGCTTAACGGTTTTCCTTTTGGTTTCCCATCTTAAAGCCACAGACAAGGGGTGCCAACTCCAACAAAAGAACACCCCAACTTTATGGCTCTTTGCTTACGGATCGTTGGACTTCAACTGTGGGTTAAACCTTTGTGGATTTTCTGTATGGGGTGCCACAAAAAGTGAGCTCAACTTTTGTTTTTTGCAGAGGGGGTCCACAAGGTAGACCTAAACAGGGGTGTTTTTTTGGGTGAATTCAATTCCTGGGTTTAAGTCCACCTTTGGGTGGTCAAAAAGTGGACCCCTGGCAAATTCAACTTGAGACCTAAGCCCAAGTTCTGCTGGAGGAACCCTGGCAGGTTCCATTCTCGAGACCTACGCGACCCAAGTCCCGCCCAGTTTTTTTTTTTTTTTTTTTTTTTCCAATATATATATATATATGCTATATATATATATATATGCTATATATATATATATATATATATGCCGGAGGCTGCCAGACCTTGGCGGTGCTGCGGGACCTCGGGGACTCCCAACGCCTGGAAAGTTGGGACCTGGCCAAGGGGCAGCATCTGGGCTGCCCGGACGCCCAGGAAACACATCGAGCCATTCTCGCGGGGCCGAAATGGGCGGCTCTTCTCTTTTGGAGTTTCTTGGTTGGTTTGCGGTTGGGAAAGCAGGAGAAAGCCGGTTTTCGAAAAAAGACGCACCCGCGTGGATTTGCGAAATGGCTGTGGGTCAAGACCAATGCTAGCATTTTGGGGTCGGTGCACCACGCAGTTTAGTCTATTTTGGTGGTTGGATCGTGATGTTCACTGGGGGTACGATTTGGCTTTTGACCCATGGCCACATGGCTACCACCCCACAAAGCACGTGTTGAGTAGATTGGGACATTTTCTTCGTGGCGACAAAGTGGATAATTTTGAGTCAAGGCGCAAACCAACCGTCGTTTTTTTTCTTTCTTTTTTTCTTCGTGATCTGTGCCTGGCAAGGGCGGTTCAAGTGCTGGGTCGCTCTTTCTGCAGGCTGGCGGCTGGGCGCGGGCTATGGCGCGCTGTGCCAGCACGGGGCGCGGCTGCTGCTAGCGAGGCACTGGGCGCTGGGGGGGCCATCCATCGGGGGTCCCAAGGTCGGCCTTTCTGGGCTTTAAGACGGAGGAATTGGCGGGTTAGATGGGAAATCACAGGAAACACCAGCATTTTGGCGGGTCCCTGCGGGCTATAGTAAGGCCATTGAATGTTGACCCCATATTAATCAGCGCTGGGGTGTTTCCATCGGGGTTCGCAAGGTCGCTTGCTGGGCTGAAACCTTAAATGTTGACCCCCTATTCATCAACCCCGGTTTAGTACTAGGGCGGTAGGGCGTGGGCGCCCCTCCAAAAGTGAACAATCCCCACCAAAACCAGAAACACCCCCATATGAATAAACAGGGTTTATTAATAGGGGGTGTTAATTATTATGGCAACCAGCATCAACCAGCTTGACTTTGGTGCAGTTTGCTTGGATGTTAGGACTTGAACTTGTTGCCAACTGATGGGTTTTCCATTAAACCACTAAAAGTTAAGCTTTTAGCAGGGGAGCAGAAAGCAATCGAGTAAGGCGGCCAGCCTCAACCAGCTTGAGATGGCCATGAACACTTGTGAATGCTGGGAGAAGCCACCTCCACCTGGTAAGCGGATTTCGTCCATGCGTATCAGGGTTATTTTGTTCCTGCACGGGTTTTGCGGTTCGACCTCCCTTTGAACTCCTGGAGATGGGAACCCTTTGCAGAAATTGCGAGGTGCAGATGTTGTAAGAAACGGAGACAGAGTCGCCAGAGAGCTTCTGCAGATGAAAGCAGAAGAACAGGAGCATATAAAGGACGGCTTCGGAGCGTTCTGGTTCGGCAGCCTCTTCTCCGTTCTTTGTTTGCTGTCAGACTCTCAGGCAAGCAACGGTTTATTGGCGCAGCGGGCAAGCTTGCGTTGTGTGTTGCGTGGCATGCAACGGTTTCCACAAGGGTCCCAAGGTGTATCCTGTTGATCTTATGCACCTCCGTCCTTGGAGCGGCCCTTGGTGCTGGCTATTTCACATGCCCGAGTCGGCGAATCGTTTCTTCAGATATCTTGGGAATCTGTTGCTCACATTGTTGGCTTGGGGAATTCACCTTGCCATCGGTCTCCCTTTTGGTTCCATTTCTCGCCCCCACCCCTTCCCCACCCCTTCCCCCTGGTTGTTTCGCCGGGCTCCCCTTGACGTGTTTTTCGGCCCAGGCGCGGGCCGTCCGGGCCAAGCCTGGAGTCCGCCCAGCTGAGCTTCACGCACTGCGCGGCGGCCCCCGCGGCGCCCCGGCTGGACCGGGATGCCACAGAAATCGACCGATTCGGGTGGAATCCTGGCGGAACATGGCCCTTGAGTGGAAGGGAGGCTTTGGATGTCGAACACGCGACCGAGGTGCTGATAAGCTGGTCATTCTGGAGTCTCAAAATTGCTGTTGGCCTTCTGCAAACCATCTAAGGGGCTTTTTTGGGGAGCATCACGACTGGCCCACTCTGCACTGGCACCGTTCGTTCGGGCTTTTGGTCATGGCTTAAGCTCAGTTTTGGGACCGCTTGACGGCATTTGATACTTTCATGCTTTTGCTCAGCTTAGCATGTCTGCCCTGGCAATTGTGAAGTAGCCCTTTTCTTGGAAATGCCTAACGATGCGTTTCTCCGGGTTCTTTGACCTGTGCACCCCTCCCGCTGTGGTTGCCCTTGTTTGCTGAGGCACAGGACGAGAACTCGCCCAGTGTGGTGTGATTCTTTGATGATCAAATTTTGAGGTGTCCTTTGGAGCAATCCGATTGTTTGTGGGCTGACATTCTGCTTGGATTACTCGGATTCGTTTGCTGGATCCAATTTTCCCATGTTACCTGTCATGCTCAGCCACAGCAGGAAGGATTGCGGCAGACAGCACAGGAAGTGTCAAAGTTACGGCCGCAATGCTGTCCACAATCCGCTGGTCGGGTGGGGCAAAATCCATTTTTGAACATGTGCAGAGCTCCCCTTGACAGTCACAAGCGTGGGGATGGAGTAGATTCTGAGCAGACTTTCCTGAACAAATGTCGCCTCGCATTTGAAGGTTTGCCCCACCCAGCCTCTCCATTTAGGGCTGTCCCGAGATTGGGGACCTTTTATCAATTTTCAAAGGATACCAATTTTGAAACTCCATTTTGAATTAATTGGTCACCTATTTCGGGACACACCCATGTGAATGTCAATGTTTCACACTGTCCCAGGGCACGGCGGGTTGACCTGCGTCCCCAAATTCAGCCACAAGATACGCGGGGCCACAAGTACGCGTTTTGCCTGGCCTGCCACAAGACAAGGGGGACTCACTTCTGACTCTGGACTTGTGCCACTGAAACTCGTGGACACTGGCCACGTTTTGTTTGCGGTCGACCAAACACATAGTCCATGTGCAATGGGATTCCAAGGAGAATGATCAAGCGTTCTAGAATATTAGATGTGTCAGTTGTCGATCCCAGTGTCCAAAGATGGATAGTCCGCAGTTTAGTACCAGTGCCATCTAAGTTGAGAAGAACGTTCAGACGTTCTTTGTTTCAATCCACAGGAATGGGGGGACGAAGGTTCCTTGAGTGGGGGATCAAATTCCGCTTCGCGGACTATTCCACGAGTCATTCCGTCAGGATTCATGCTTGTTGAATGAGGCTCGCCGCATGTTGTTCCCCAACATTTGCCATGCCAAGGATAGACACAGGACACAGTTGTTCAAAGCCGACCTTTTGACCTTTCTTATCTCCCAACTTGGTCCATATTCAGTCATGGCCCCAAAAGGTGAACCCTTTAGTTCCAGGTCCTTTGGGCAACTGAGTAGATACATGAATGGTGGGCCCAGTTTGATGGTTGATTCGCATGCCCTGGGCTCAGCCATGGGGATGATGGTCTCACGTTATCCCGCCAGATTGAAGTTGCAGCCATGTGGCTATTTGACCCTTCTCTGTGAAGGACCATGCATATGCTATATATTATTGTTGTTCAAATTAGTATATGACTTTTAATCCACAACACATATCATATATGATGTTTTGCTCACCATGTGGTAGTTAGACGTTCCTTTTTGAGACCACGCCCACAGCGGCCTGGAGCTCTCTCAGCTCTGCAGCCAACCCTGCCAGAGCTCACGCGACTGCTCGAGGGCTCGTAGGCCTTTAATGCCTCACAGTGATATGGCGCAGCAGTGCCAGTTGAGTGTCTCAGAATCGGTGCTCCTCCCTTCAGGTGGACTAATCAACTCATCCTGGCTTTCCCGCATGTTTTTTTTTTGGGAACTGCAAAGAGGAGTCTGCATTTTGAGACATTCGTTTGTTTCTGCAGCCGGAAGGGCAACGCAGCCAAAGAAGCCAGCCTTGCGACAAGGAGAAATGCAGCGTCCAGCTTGACCAAGTCTGTTGGCCAGTTCGCTAGGGTCATTATGTTGATTGTTTCTACGGGTCGTCAAAGTCAGCAAATGGGGTTGTTTCCCTTTAACCCATCACTTAGGGGGTGACTTTGATCATGGTAAAATAATGAGGCCAGGTTCGTCAAAGGCAGTCGAACCGCGAGCATGCTGCCTTGCACTCTCGCATTGAGCTTTCGGACCTGTCCTCAATTTCCACTGCTCCATAGGAGACGAGCTGTGCCATGGCGAGTCTTCGGACATGCCTTCAGCTATGGAACGGAACTTCTCTGAAGAACGCACCATTTGCGGAAACCCATATACATACACTGTACTGTATATATATATATATATACACACAAAATACATACCCTCGACTTCTTGTGGAACCTTGTCCAAGCACTGGCAATTTGGACATCGCAACTCGCGCCGTCCCTTGCCTCAAGTGAAGTCTCAGACCCAAGCCGCGGAAGCCGCGCCCCGCGCGGCGCGGGCGGCGCCAACGCGGCATGGCGCTGCTTGGTCGATGCCAGGGGAGTGGGTCAGGTCTTGTGCTGCGGGCCTAAGAAAACTTGAGAAAATCTGCTCCCGGTGCGACATCTATGTTGCGCCCGGGGCCTCCGCAACATATTTTAAGCGAAACCGACTGTACCTATTGGAAAGGCCAAGTGGAAGGGATCGAGATTCCATGTCAGGTTTTCTTGCTGGCGCTCAGGGAATGCGATTTTTTTAAATGCCCCCTTATAAAACATCCCTTGTGGTTTCCTTTAAGTGGGGCCAGGTTCATTCCCTTCCCTACTTCTCGCACCAGAGAGCTATTTGGAGAGCAGGATACATGGCTGACGTGAAAAGAGAGGGATAAGGAGGCAACTGACAATCACACCTCCACTTTGGGCACTGGGAACCACCTTAAAAGTGGCCTGCAGACATGCATCCCTGCTGAATTCTGACACCAATGGTGGACTTTTGGAACTCTTCCCAAGCCCATGATTTGTCCACCAAGGCGTCCAATTTACCAAAGGACTTTGCAAATCAGTGGGAAAGTTCTGGGGCCATTCGATTGTTCCTCAAAATTACCACCCAGTGGTTTGCTTCCTTTTGGTCTCCCCTGAATACTATCCCAAAATGAGCTTCGTTTTATGTTCCTGTCAGGTTCTCTTTCCATTTTTTGTTTTAGGGGGCCGCCAACATGGCTTCGGTTCTCCTTTTGGTTTCCCTCGAAACCCACCCCAAAAAAGATGGGGTACCAACTTACACAACTCAAGAACGGCCGAGCCAGCAGCCGCCCTTCTGGTTTCTGAACATGTGGGCGCCGACGCCAAAAAAGATCGAACGTGGCCGCCCGCTTGGCGTCGCTTCGGACTCGGAGGCTGGCCCAGAGCGCCTCCGCGCCGGACCTGCGCCGGCCAGGCCGCGGGAACTGGACAGACGAGGTATGCAAGGAAGTTTTGTGTGTACACATGGCTACTATAGAGAAATATACACATAGATGAATAAGTAAATGAAAACATGAATACATAAAGAAGTGAAGAACTAAATACATAAATAAGCATATATATATATATATGTATACATATACACAATTCCCTTTGTAGGTTTCACAGGGGACCGCTTCTATTGGAGTGAGTGAATTCCGTTGACGAAAATAATTTGGGAAGTTGCGAAGGCAGCTGTGATGCAGGATCAATCCTTGAGGTCAACAATCGTTCATGTCAAAAGGTGGGATGAGTTTTACCTTTTATCAGCCTTCAACATGGACAGATAGGGTACCTTAACCAGCGCATCATCGGGCTGTCAATCCACAGATGCTTACAACATGAATCACCAGGAAACATATCTTTTTCAGCTAGATGGGACCGTGGCAAGTGAAGACTTGACCTTGACTCTGCTTGTTCGGCTACCATATTCTTGGAACAACAAACAATGGTGTCATATTGAGTAAGTTTGGCTTGCTTCACCTACATCATGAAGCTCCGGACTTCCTTATCTCAGGCTTCACCTGCCAGTGGGAGTCGTCTTTTTTGTTTCTTGGTTTTACGTTTTGTTTGGTACGGTCCTAAAATGGACCCATCGGACAAGTTCGACCGCAGAGTCCCATGGATCGAACAGATCGCGGCAGGCTCCGGCGGCTCCTTGAAGAAGGCGCGCTGCTCCTTGATCGGAGTGACGCTGATTTGGGCGTTGCCTAAGAACGGTTCCGGACCCATCCCAAAATCGCTGTTTTTTGTGGGTTGGAACCTTCGTTTCTCCCAACTTGACAACTTTAAAAGGTCGCACCTCATCCAAAATTGAGTGGGTTGGCCCCCCCAGCAGACCTTGCTGTTTTTTGTGGGGGTTGGAACCTAACCAAAAGGTAGCAACTCGAAGGAAGACACCCATTTGGGCGGGTGCGGACTTCTGAGACCCTTTGTACCCTTTTCTTTCACAGGGCCCCGCTTGCCATTTAGTGAATCCAACCTACTATGGTTTCTGGGGCGAGTGATAGAGATCTGGATATCTCAGCGCCAGAGCCCTCACGTTTACTTTTAGTTTGCCATTTGGGTTGGGGCTTTATAAAGTCTATGACCTTACATCGTGTTGATTGACACCATGCATTTGAAGCGTACTCATTTTTTCGACACCCGCATTTGTGCTGGGAACATGCTGAGAGCAGAGATTTGTTCTCTTTTCAACGTGAGCCAACCAAGCGCCTGCACCTGGTTTGGATTAATGGCAGCCAGAACTCGGGCTGAAGGAGTTTTCTGAATATCGTAGGGGGCCCTTGTAAGATGAGGTAAGTTTCTTGAGACCTACATGTAGAGTGAGAAATGGGATCGGCTTTTCTGAGGGTACCCTTTTTGGGCGGTTTTTGTTTAGGGGCCACCAACCGGAGCACCCGCATCTTTTGCACCCGTTGCCCGCCTCCCAAAAGAAGCGACGGTTCAACTTCTTGGCCAGGCTGGCGCTGCCTTGTCAGGCGCGGGGGAAACGCTCGAGTTCGCGCGGGGAAACGGTTGCGTTTCCGTGGTTGCACCCGGAAGGATGGTTGGTCTGGCAGGAATCTCGATGTTATTTTTTGAGACTTTGTTTTGATTTTTTTCTTTTCCGGCCCATGTATTTTGGTGAGTTTCGGGGGGGTGAGGTTTAACGTGGCAAGGCCGGGACCCCGCAGCGCTGTCTCCAAAACCTGAAACAAGCCGGGATTCGCCAGGCCCGGGCACATTCCTCATAGGACTCTCAGTCTTGGAATCTGCTTACCTGCAGCACCAGGGAGGGGTGGGATGGGAGGTGGCCGGCCAGTGTTCTAGGGGTTGATTCCCCATTCTTTTCAACGCATCAGCTCAGCGCCGGCTGAGGTTCCAGCTCGCAGGTCTTCACCACGACGCTCTATGAGCAGATGCTGGGGAAGGCGCTTGGGGTTGATCCCAGGTCCCGTGAATCCCCAGATTTAGGAGGCTTTGCATGGGGTTGCCAGATGTGTGACCCCGGAAAGGGGTCACTTTTCACATCTCGTGGTCGAAATATCATCTTTGTTGGTTCTCCAACCAGCCATCTCATGCAAAGGACCTCTTTTTGATCAATCTCCATGTGACATTCGATGCCGACCGGGATGGATTAGTCATATGATCCCAAACGGGTGCACGGCTTGCAGATTTGGAATTTTGGCCATGGCACAAATGGGATCCTGTCTTGCAGTTGGCGCCCTTTTTGGAAGCTTGACACGGGAAAAGCTCCATCTCGGAGTCAGAAATTCGTCAGGGATGCTCTGGTAGAACATCGGTGCTTCACCTTCAATTCCCTGGTGGACCAAACGTCTATTCTTGTCAGGGTTTGTTGCCTCCTTTATCCGGGGGTGCCCTTGTTGCTCGGTGTTAGCAAGCAGGGAGCTCTGCGTACTCTCCAGAGATTGTAGTGAGCCTAGGTAAACCACTGGCAATATGTTTGGTCGGCTGGTCTTTGGGAAACAGGTCGTTTCGTCCGGAGCTCGTGTAAATCTTTATGAACATGTTCCTTGAGTTCGTTGGGTTCCTTGGGCGGACCGGATTATTGTGGTTTTCGGCTGGCCCCTGTGGTCCATTCCAGAGAGAGAGCATTTGCCCAAGGGGACTCACTGGTTTGCCCATATCCATTGTGGGCGCCAGAGGCATGTTTTGACTCACTGTGCTTGCTTGACCCCCCCCCTGCCCGCCCCCGCCAAAAAAGTAACGTGCTGTGGAGGAATCTCGGTTTGGGCTTTGCAGTGTGGGCTCTCGCCAGGGTGGGGAAACACTGTTTCAGCAACCATACCGTGGTTCCTCTTGGGAGACCAAGAGGAGAGTGTGAAAGCAGTGGTTGATCAGCAGGTTGTTGTTGGGGTTGAATCGCCCCAACCTGCCTCTTGTTGCCAGAAGCTCTTCAAGAATCACTTCCCCAGCATCCCTCCGGCGGGCAAGTCCATCACGGTGCCTCTGAACGCGTGGGGCCCCGGCTCAGCGAGCTTGACGCCCTTTTTTGGGAGCCGCTGATCAGGTAGCCAGGTAGCCCTGAGTTGGCGATTTGTGCTTTGGGGCTTGAACTTCTGGTTCTGGTAGAGGGTAGGAGTTTCAGGGGCTTTGCCTAGATCGCCTGGTGGCCCATATGTGCAAAGCCCACCCCCCCCCCTCCCCCCGCCGATGCCTGTGTTTTTTGTGGCCCTTGGTAATCCCACCCTACAACTCGCCAAGCCAACTTCCCCGCCCGCCGATTCCATTTCCGAGGACTCCGCTCAGCAGGACCTCCAGTCAGAGATCCACTTCCCCTTGCCGCCCACGCCGGCGCCGGCCTCGGACGTTGCGATCGAAGGTCTCGACAGCCCAAATCTTTTCTCTTGGTTTCCTGTTTTAAGGGGGACCCTCAAGCAAAGATCCCTCATCTTCCCATTGTCTGTCATTTTCTGTATTTTTGGAATAGTCTTCCACAAGCTTAGCTGGGTCTTCCTGTGTGGTTTCTAGGATTCGTTGAAAACAAAGGAGGAATCACTCATTGTGCGGTTGCCACCCGTTTGCAGACTGAATTTATTCTTTGAGTCGGGGAGTGAATTGTCCATCTACCGGTACTCTGCGCTCTTTTTGGCATTTTTTTGGTCTTTGCTTTGCGTTGTTTTTTCTTTTTCTTGCATCCGTTCACTTTTGGAGGGGGCTGCAAACCATTTATGTTCAATTGGTGGGAACACCATTATAGGTCCCAACCTAAACTGGGGGTTTCATACCAGAAACGCGGATCTTGGAAGTTTCTGCAAGGAGAGGCCGAACACTTCACCAATGTACCTGCAAAAGGTCCCCAGTTGTGGCCTTGTCGCGAGTGAATGGCCTAGAGGTCGGTTTCCAAAATATATAGTTGAATGAATTGAAGCCGCCCAAGGCCCGACCATGGTTGAGATCAATCCCCAAATATGGCAAGGGAACCAGGAAAGCTCCTTGTGTTTGTCATTTGTGGTTGGTTTTACTTGCATTCAGAGCATCAGTAGCCCCGCTCCTCAGAGTTATCTTAACACGGAACCCCGCGAGAATGGAACACCTAAATCAGATCTTCCCAACCTTTGGCAATGCAGAACACTTGCGGGTCCAATTCCAATTCTTCTCTACTGTCCTGTTCTCCGGGAGCCTGTTCCGTGCAGCCTTGTGTACCTGTGTTTTTTGGCGACCCGGACAGCTTCAGACTCGCGCCTTCAGGTGCACGAGCGCAAGTTCAGGAGGCCGCGGTTCTTGGGTTTTCCCCCGAATGCCGGGACTTTGGAGGACTTTACAACTGGGGTCCTTTGGCTGCAGGGATTCTTGAACGGGAACAGGGTCTATCGGGTCCCTCAATAGGCCAAGGGCATTGACGGAAGAAGAGTAGGAATCTGCCTTTGGGATCGGCCCAAAGTTGCGGTCCCATAAACCTGAGCAGTCGAAGACAAAAAATGGGTGTGTCAAAGTTTTGGTAGGGGCCTCTTTGTTTTGATGGGAATCCACTAGGATAACCCCACATTTTGGGGGGTCCCAAATCCGAAAAAAAGAAAAGACGCGCCACCCATCTTCTTCACCTTGGGAGGTGCCAGTCCTGGGGAGACCCCCCAGTGCTTGGGATTTAGACCCCGCCTAGCAGCAGTTGATGGGAAAGCTGCCAGGATCTCCCATGGCCCCGGCGAGATCTACGCGCTGCACTCAGAGCTTCTGCTTGGATACTGTGGATGGACGAACTCCATTTCGCACCCAAGAAGCAATGGGGAACCCTTGTCAGGGCTCCTTCAAAGATACATTTTGCAACCATTTGAAACATGGCTTTTTCCACGAAAATGAAAGGAACCACCATTTGCAAGGCAATGTTCAGGAGTATAATGTAAGGATCCCTGATTGTTTGTTGGTAATTACATGGGGATCATCATTCCAAAAGGTTTCTTAGGTGGTGCACTGGTTGGCCTCCCACTGAAGGAGGCCTTACCATGGTTTTGGTGGATCAAGGTTGCCAGTTCTCGACTCGTCCCGGACCATCTAGGTGCCAGCCACCTCGCTGGCAAACAACGTGTCATCTTGAAGGTCACGATATGCTTGCCAACTGGCCTGGGCCAATCGGATTGGGGGCAGACAGCACATTGACCTTTGGCTGAGAAGCAACCCTCAAGCTGCTTCCCTCACTTCCCCTGTTGCTGGGCCTGTTGGCTTTAACCTTTTCGGAAGATATTTTTTTTGACAAACGCCCTCCATTCTCATGAGCTACACTTACAACAAAAGCACTTCCTCATGACACGGTGCCCCCGCGTCTATTGATTTTAATCATTCAATATGATTGTCTGGTGTTGGTGCAAAAGCGACCCTCTTGCAAACATGTGCAAGCAAAGGGAGTTCCATCCGCAGGAGCTCATTTTGTTTGCTTATAAAGTTTCGCGTGTTTTTGCTTGGCTTTGGTTTGCCTGGTTTTTGTTTCGGGGTTTCATGGTCTTGCCTGTTTTTTGCTCAGAATTTCGTGGTCCTGCCCGATTTCGTTTGATCGTTTCTTTGTTTTTGGTTTCAGAGGCGGTCTTCCCAGGTGCACCATGGGCTCAAGGATCAGCTGCTGCCGGCGGAGGAGTCGCGGAAAGCCTTTAATGACTCCCGTGCCCAATATATGTCTAGGGGTGCAGCCCCATTTCCATTCTTTCCAGGCATCCGATTCTTTCTAAAAAACCACCCAAAGCTTTGGGCAAACAGCTGGTTTTTGAAAAGAACAATGGTTGAACAGAACGGGGAATCAACCCCTAGAATGTTGCAAGTAAGAGAACAACAAAGTCTTCTGATTATCTGTAATTTGCCATGGTTTCGATGTTTTTTTTCTTCTTTTTTTTTTTGTGTGGAAGGAGTGTGGTTGTAAACTATTTTTGTATGGCAGTGGCATCCACTTGGGTGTGTCGTTTTGCTGCATTCTTAGATTGGTTAAATGGAAGGACACCGCCGTGTGGTGTCCAGACGTGATTGGCGGAGATGGGTAGAGGCAAATGACCAATTCGGGCGGCAGGAGGTCACCTGTGATGAAGGTCCTCTGAAGGGAGGCGGGGGCACCATTTCTTCAAGTTTGGAAATAGGAACTTGACATCACTGGTGCAGGTACCGGTTTTCGGGCTTGGTTGACCGGAAAGTCAAAAGGGAAACACCAGTTCTGGAGGGTCCCTCATAAAACGACAAGCCCGTAGTATGGCGGACGCGAATGTTAGTGACTGGCACACCTGGCAAAAATGGTTGGCAGACAGAGCCATGTGAATATTGCCCACCAAATGGGGTTCCCAAGCAGAATTCACAGCATTGATCTGTCTCAACATGTAGAAATGACCCTCTGTGGCGCTTTCCTTTTGGTTTCCTTTCAAAACCAGCGGTTGAAGGGGTCCGTAAAAAGAACAAAAACAAAAAGACTAATAATCAAAAAGCAACGCATCCATACTGACCCCAAGAGCTACATTGCCGCTTCCAGTGCCGCCCCCCTACTTGCTGCCTTTGGGAAACCAGCAGGAGGTTCATTAGGGTGGGTCTTTGTTTGAGGGTATCCTTTTTGGGATGGTTTCCCTTTGTTCTCTTCAACACATCCACCAAAAAGGGAACCGAGCCAACCTCACTTGTTTGCTCACAGAGCCTTGGACCCCAGCCCCAAGGGACAAAATGCCGAAGATAAACCCCCGAACCCTCCGCAAACAAAGCCGGCCCCGCTTTTCTTCTTTGCCCTCTGGGTCCCGGATTTACTTTCGAGGTGGTTGCCTGAAAGAACCACCAGCGGGTTTTCCTGAAGGTATCACTTCAAGGGACTCAGTCTGAGCTGTTTGGGGATCCCCGGCGTCCGCGTCTGCTGGCAGGACTTCCGCTACGGCATCCGCGGGCAAAAAGGTTGTAGCACGGAAGACACCATGAAGGCCGGTTAGGGCGGTTAGGGCGGGGGCGGGGGGGTGCCTCTGGTGCTTTGGCTGGAAGCCCCGACCGGGGGTCCGGACCGGAAGGCCTAAAAACCCCTGGTGGGTGGCATGTTTGTGGGAGGGCAGGTGACGTTCAACCTTGTCATGCTGGACCATGGTTGTTTTGTTTGTCTCCAAGGGTAGACTGCCCAACCGTCTTGTCTCGGAGGGAACCTCCTTGGGCCAGGTTGAATGGGAAATCAAGGGAACGCCGCCCATTTGTGTGGCTTTCTCTCTTTCGAGAGGCTGTGGGTCAAAACCGATGGTACCATTTCTGGGTAGGTGCACCACCCATTCTAGAACCTATTTTGGTGGTTGGATTGGGATGTTCACTGGGGGTACGGGATATTGACCCATGGCCAACTGGCATCAGTGATTGGAGGTCACAGACGCGTCACTCAGATGGGCGGTGGTTCCGTCAGCCAGTTTGGCACAGACAGACAAACGCAAACACCTACGAGCAGAGGTTTCAGGAATTTCCCGGAGCCATCACCAGACAGCGGCCTTGCTGTGCGTTTGTCTGGGGCAGTGGCAGTGGCAGTGGCAGTCTTGGGTTGGCATACGAAAGCCCAAAAGAACATTTTGTGCGGGGTGGACTTTTGTCCCCTCACCCCTACAAGAGGTTTGGCAAACTTTCAGGTACCTTGGCTTTTGCTCGGGTGGATAAGTTCTCCTCCCTGTGGAAAAGAAAAAAACACATCCACTTTGTTGTGGCCACAGCACTTCAGCTCCCGCCGATCGCCTGAAAGGCGGGGCTCCTCTTGGGCGTGGCGGCGTACCAGAATGAGGTGGCGGAGAATGTGTACGAGAGCCACAAGAAGGAGCCACTAGGCGGATCCGGGCACGTAGGAGGGCCTCTGACTGCTTCTCTGGAAGTCTTGGATGGCTCTTCCCTCGGGTCTGAGTGTTTTTATCCTCTTTGGAAGGATCAAATAGCAAGCTACAAGTTCCCGAGGACATTTTCCATTTCCAACTGACTCGGGAGCCACCCCCGGCTCGGGAGCGAAATGCACATCCGCCAGGGGGCGGAAGAAAGGGGGGAGGGAGCTGGCTGCTGCTTGTGCCCGCGCCGGATGGCCCACGGTACCACACAAGCTGCAGCTTTTGGGTCCAAGCGAGTAGAAAACCTGGTTGGGTTGCTTGTGCTGTCCCTTTCACTAGAGGGGAGTTCCAAGCCTTTGGATGCCCCATGTTGGTCATCAGCCATGTCCAAGCCCCTGGACTGCATCACTCTGGCTTGTGGGACCACCCAGAGCCCCGCCAGTTCGTGTGTATTTAAGGAATGGTCCCAACCCAAAGCAGTTCCGAACCACAGGCCTCATTTGGGTCATTTGGCCCCGTTTAGATCTCAGCTGGGGTGGGGAGACACTCTTGAGGGCACCTGCTTCTTTTTTTTTTTTTTGGGGGGGGGGGTGGTTTTAAAAGGGAACCCAAGGGGAAGCCAACCATTGTGGGGGTACCCCTATTCTGAGCCACACCCGCGTGTTTTGGGGTAAGCTGAAGAAGCCAACCGCCGCCTCTTCCGATCTGCGCCAGGCCGCGCCTTCACACGGGGGCACTCGCCTCCCTGCCGCGCTTGGAGAGCCGTCAGATGGTGAGCGTGGCTTGTGCTGGTTGCGCCTTTCACTTCGAAGTGTGACCGGGGCCCATTTTTATTTTATTTAAACATACCCATACCAAAGCGGGAAGTCCACAAATGAGCCATACCCACTTCTTTTCACATACCCACACGAAAAGCGGGACGTCCACAAGCCACAAATGGGGTGGTCTCAAGAATAAAACCACCCAAAATGGCATCGGTTTTCTTTTTGGCTCCCCTTTAACTCCACAAAAAGAAGGCACGCTTTCCGTGAGGCTGAAGATGCTCCCGGAGGGCTATGGCAACTCCAGCCAGGGGCCAAGCATTAGCGGTGCCGTTGGGTTGTGTCAACCCCTTTGCGCCGCGCCTTTTTGAGGCTAGCCTTTTTGGGGTTAGGGAAAAAGCAAAAGGACGCCAATCAATTCTTTTTGGGGATTTGAGACATGCAGACGAAGGGCAACTGCAAAAAATCAACATGTTTCCCTTCCACTCACCCCAATGTCCCGACACAAACGTTTCTCCTAGTCTTCCATCAGTTGGTAACCTCTCCCAATTCAACCGTAAAGTTCGTGTTCCGAGTTAGATGTGCTACCCCCACCCCCATGTCGTTTGGGGACTCGGAGAGAGATGCTGTACGGAAGACGAGCTGATTGACCTTCAGCCTTGGCCTCGCGAACAGCCAGAATCCCGCAGCACCCAAGCCACACACACACACACAAAACCTGAGGTCCTTTCCACAAACAGCCGGGCGATGATTCGGCTATAAAAAACATGGCGGAGCGCCCTGTCGCCATTCAGGAGCCACCGCTAGCCTTTGGCTGCTCAAAGACGCCCTTTGATCCTTGTGGGAGTGGGCTCTGTCATGGGGGGCGTGTCAAGGAGGTAAATATAGCCCCTTTTGCGCATGGTTTTGAAAGCACAGCAAAGGCAATGTTTGACAGATACAACATTTTTAGACATGATTGGCTTCCTTACATTATTGGCTTCCTTGGCTTCTTGACCGTGGGAGTTTTGTGAGAACTAGGCCCATTAGGTACTGTGCCTTAGGGGCGGCTGGGACTACGGCTGCAATGATCATTGGCGACCGGCTGGAAGGATAGGAACCTCACGCCACAGAAGTCCTACCTGAATTTACTTTCAGGGCACACAAGCAAACAACAGAGCACGCAGGTTGAAAGTGGCATCGCGCGTCAGCTACTACCCCCCCTTTTTGCTTGCCTGCGTCAATTCCATCAACCTCGCACCATTTGTACATGAGCGTTGCTCGGCCGCAGCTCAGCCATGCCGCGCGCCGTTTCGAGCGCGGGAGAAAGCCCGGCGGCTTCTGGGACCACAAATCTGTGGAGCTGGCGCCTTGTTTGGAGTGGGCACTACTGTGGATGGACGAAATCCTGCACCACCTACGAAACCCTGAGAATGATGATTCCCCCTGCAAATACCAACAAACAATGGTTCCCCATTGTTTCTTGGGTGGTGCCGGATGTTGTCCACCCACAGTATAATGTTTTGCGCTTTCCACATGTTTTGCTTCGCAAAGCACCGCCTGTTTAGAAGGAGCGTCGCTCGGCCGGTTTGCATCTATCCTTTCGCCAAGCCTCCTTCCCCGCTCTTTGGCTGCCAGTGTTTATCTCCCTCAGTTTACAGTCCCTATGTTTCCCCTGTTGGTGGCGGTAAACAGCGGCTTTGGGTCATGTTCACTTGAGTCTGGTTTTGATGCGTTGGGAGCGGTTTCCGGAAGCCCATCGACCTCCCATGTCTCGCCTTTTCAGAGCGACGGACGAGTGACTGCGAGGCTTTAAATCAGTATTCGGGTCCATCTTTTTTTTGAGAGTACCAGTCTTTTCTTGGGGAGGGGTTAAAGGGAAACCAAAAGGAAAGCCACCAATTCGGACGGGTCCAAAAAGAAGACCTCCCCCCCTTCATTCTATTTTTTTGGTTCCCGTTGCTTCTGCGTCAGGGCAAGGGCTACAACCAGCTCATCAAGGCCCAGGGCCTCAAGAGCGCCTGGGAAGGCGGGAGCTTGAAGGAAAGCCCAGCGGTCGGCTTAACAAGCAGGGGTTTGTTTGTTTGTTTGTGTGTGTGTGTCCTGTGTTCTCCCCCCCCCCTTTTGTTTTTTTTTTTTTTTTTTTTTTTTTTTTTTTTTTTTTTTTTTTTTTTAAATTTTTTATTTTCCGTGTCCCGCGCTCTTGGGCTTCTCGATTTATGCCACACAAACATGTCCGCAGTCTTTTCGTTTTGGGCCAGCTGCAGCTGGAACTTGTGGGCCCAAATACGCTCGGTGGCTTTCAGGGAGGGTTCCGGAGGGTTCGGGTTGGGGATACCGCCTGTTTTGTTTTTTGCGATTGGACATCAAGCTCTGAAAGAGGACTTCCCGCACTTGCCCTTTACTTGTGATACAATCAATCTGGGCCAAATGGCCTGGGACTGAATTACTTCGCTAGGTGGTTGGTTGGCAAGGTTGCAACAGTAAACATTTTTACTTATACAGTAGGCACTTTTTCTTTTTAAACAATCTATATTATATATATATATACATATATGAACTCTAGCAACCGATGTATGCATGTATGTGTATATAGATATATATACATATATATATATATAGTATACATACACGCAACGCCCCCCTTCCTTGGGAAGGCGCCTTGTCCCTGGCATCGGACCAGCTGCTCCGCGGCTCCTTCGACCTGTCCACGGCGCAGCAGCTGCTGGGGGCCTGCGGCAAGGCGCGGCGGTGGCAGCTGGCGCTGGAGGTCTTCCGCCAGCTGCCGCGGTGGCAGGCGGCGCGCGCACGAGCAGCGAGTCGGGCAAGGGCGAGTCAGGATTTTGAGCCGCCAAGAGAGGTCCGTCCGAGCTGGAGGTTGTTGTTTGGGGGGTTCGTTTTGGCGAGGTTTCCCTTGAACACAGTTTTTGTTTTTCAAAACTGAGGGAAACTACAAACCATACACCGGCTTGCGATGGGTTCATGAACAGTTGGGCTGATAGGGTTTTCACGCATATCCAAGTCACTATGCAAAATTCCCCATACTCATGAACCCATTTTATTTTTTTGGCGGGGCGTCAGATTTCACTGAAAAACCGCTGAGTTTCCAGATCTAAGTCTCACTTGCCAAGCGAAGCGACCTGAAACGAGTGTTTCGTCGGTCCACTTGTAGTATTCTATCTTGAGATCCTTTGGGCAAGTGAGAAGCCGAACCCATCCTACGTGTGGTGTTGGGCCCACAAAAGAAGGAATCCCACTAGAATAGCACCCCCCCACATTAAAATCGACCTGGGGTTTGATTAGCCTGAAGTTCCACTTTGAGTGGATGAGGGGGGGGGGGAGGGGGGCAAATTCTCCCAGGCAGTTAGTTGGTTTTTCTCCATGCGCAAGTGGGTTATGAACGAGTTACCAGGAGCTTCCAAGCTTGGACCCAAGTTGCTGGGCGATTCCAGGTGTCGCCCGATGCGGTCTGCCACAACATGGTGGCGGCAGGTTTGCTCAAGGCCGGGCTGTGGGAGAAGGCGCTGTCCACCGTGCAGGACGGACTCGGGAGCTCCAAAAATGCCTGGTTTGCCGTTTGGTTTCCCTTGAACGGCGTAAGAAAGGCGTAGCCTCGAAACAAAGCCACGCACCTTTTTTGGATTTCCTTCCCGCAGCTCAGGTATTTCAACACCGGCTTGGTGAACTGGGATTCGGGACTAGGTGAAGCTAGCTGCCAAAGAGCCCCAAGCTGTGTGGGGTCCTTTTCGGACATGAATAGCTGGCCCGGGACTTGGCCAAGTGGTTGCTGACCCGGTCAAATTTCTCACGGGCACCTACCGTTGATATGACCATTGTTGCCAACCACCTGTAGGAAACTAAAAGAACCCACCCCTTCAAGCAACTAAAAGGAACATGGTCGTGTCATTCTTTAAAGCGAAACTCAAAGGAACACCCCCATTCTTTTGCGGGGTCCAACTCCTTAAGAAAGACGGGCCACCCAAAAGGGGCTTCCGCCGTTTGTTTGCTTTTCCGGGGGTCTTCCGTCGGAAAGAACGTCCTCCCCTTCCCCGCCCAGGAGGCGTTTGGTGGCCCCTTCCCCGCCACGGTGGTGACCTACAACACCGGGATCGCCGCCTGCGAGCGCGGCAGCGCGTGGCGGCACGCGCTGCAGCTGCTGCAGGAGGCAGGCTCGCTCGATCGGGCGAAGCCGAGGGTGCGGCGAAGCCGAGGGAAGGGGACGGTTTGGGGACCTTGTTGAGGCGGAAGGCGCCGCGAAAAGCCTAGAAAAAGGGGGGGTGGGGTGGGTGTTACGTAGGTTTTCGGTACTTCTGGGGCCGAAGAGTGGAGCATTTTGTGTTGTCTGCTGACTTGAGCTTGTGAAAAGAGAGCTCGTGCAAGTCACAGCTGCATGACTTGTTGGCGCAAAGACCCAAGCACCAGCATCTTAAGAACTTCCCCTGTAATTCACAAAGGTTTGGCGTTCTTCGGCTCTGGTTCGCCAAGCGGGCGCAACATAAGCTTCAACACCTCCCCCCCAAACCATGCAAAGCACAGTTGGTTTGTTTAAAACACACACACACACACGACATACCCACCACAGAAGGACACAAGAAGTACATCGCCTCTTTGAACGGCCAACTTGAAGTGGATTTCCCTCTGTTTGAGGGGCAAGCAACATTGGTCCCTTTCGGTTTCACTTTGCTTGAGCATAAAGTTTCTCGAAAACCGAGAAAATCCGGAAAACCTACCCCAAACCCCTCCCCGAACCATAGGTGTCCTTCGAAGAATGGAGGGCGATTCCTGGTTTACCCGGTGGTTCGAGCATCTACCATGGCCATCTATTTTTCCAGAAAGGGCACCTCTGCCCCCAACGCTTAGTTGCCTGGTCGGTTGCCTGGTTGGTTGTTTGTTGCTTGTTTGGTTACCTGGCTGCCTGGATGGTTGGCTCGAATCCAGGTGCTGGATTCCCCGGTCCTCTCCCCCAGCGCGGCCAGCGTGACCTCCGCGATGCTGGCCTGCGCCAAAGGTGGCCACTGGCCGTTGGCCTTGGACCTTTGGTCCGCCATGGGCCAGGCGAGGCTCGAAAGACGGGGGGGGGCTGGAGGGCTTCCGGTTGATGAGTTTTGTGTTTTGTTCCCTCATAGGTTTGAAGGGAATCTATGACTACTGGAGATGTGTTCGCTTTTTCCAAGGGACCTCAGCAAATGGAGGATGGCTCCAGGTGGTTTTGAAGGGAATCTATCACTACTGGAGATATGTTCGTTTTGTCCAAGGGACTGAAGCAAATGGAGGATGGGTGTGTCCTTTGTTAGGGGACTCCCTCCCCCCCCCCCAAATGGTGGTAT